TTCCGACCATTTCGCTGGCATGGATACAGTGCCGAGCGAGCGCACTTGAACGGGAGTTCTTACCATTTGGCTGGCATGGATACAGTGCTGAGCAAGTGCACTTGAACGGGTGTTCTTACCATTTGGCTGGCATGGATACAGTGCTAAGCGAGTGCACTTGAACGGGTGTTCTTACCATTTGGCTGGCATGGATACAGTGCCGAGCGAGTGCACTTGAACGGATGTTCCTAAAATTTGGCTGGCATGGATACAGTGCTGAGCGAGTGCACTAACACGGGTGCTCTTACCATTTGGCTGGCATGGATACAGTGCCGAGCGAGTGCACTTGAACGGGAGTTCTTACCATGTGGCTGGCATGGATACAGTGCTGAGCGAGTGCACTTGCACGGGTGTTCCTACCAGTTGGCTGGCATGGATACAGTGCTGAGCGAGTGCACTTGAACGGGTGTTCTTACCAGTTGGCATGGATACAGTGCTGAGCGAGTGCACTTGAACGGGTGTTCTTACCATTTGGCTGGCATGGATACAGTGCTGAGCGAGTGCACTTGAACGGATGTTCTGACCAGTTCTTACCATTTGGCTGGCATGGATACAGTGCTGAGCGAGTGCACCTGAACCGGTGTTCTTACCAAAGCACTGCTATTTGCGATGTTTTCCGCGCTCGGGACAAGGGAATAACGGGCGCTGTTACCAAAACACTGCGATTTGCGATGTGTTCCGTGCTCGGGACAAGAACGTGCTGGTATTTGCGGTGTCTTCAGCGCGTGCTGCACGGGAGGACGGGAAGGCACCAGAACGCCGCAAATCCCAGTGTTTTTTTGCGCGCGAAGCAGAAACACACTGCGATTTGCAGTGTTTTTTGACGGTGCCGAGCGCGGCGTTATCTCGGCTCGGAAGGAAGAAGAAGAAGAAGAAGAAGAAGAAGAAGAAGGAAGAAGAAGAAGAAGAAGAAGAAGAAGAAGAAGAAGAAGAAGAAGAAGAAGAAGAAGAAGAACAACAACAACAACAACAACAACAACAACAACAACAACCACAACCACAACCACAACCACAACCACAACCACAACCACAACCACAACAAACAAACAAACAAACAAACAAACAAACAAACAAACAAACACGTATAGGCTATCAGATAACTGTGGGTCCCACAGTTCGGCACCAGGGACTAAAACTTCGTTGAAAGAAGGGACACTTGGCGTTTGGGTCCAGTTGTATTTCCCATGCGAGTTGTGTGGGAGATAGAGCTGCCGCCATTTCCCCGCAGTCAAATTCATGTCCAGAAGCGACCCTCGGGTAGAAGATTTGTGGAACCGACTCAAATTGACCACGTATGGTTTCACACCAGACCTGTGTGACTTGTTGATGCTCTCCCGGACAAAGCAAGTCTCTGGAGATGAGGTTGAAGGTTCAAATTAATCTCATTCTTGACAGCGTTCCCACATTTTGCTTGGGGGGGCTCCTTTCGAGTTGACATGCAAGGGGCTCGGGTCCCCGGAGGGACCAATCGATGAACATTTGGAGTTGGATGAGGCGCCTGCCAGCATTGAACTGGCCTAAGATGGCATCCTCTCTAGCTGGTTGGTTTGGGGAAAAACCCACCCAAAAGAGAAAAACACGTTGCTTCTGGACCTACAAAGGCCCTCATGTGGTCCATAGGGTTAAAGTGGCGAGTTCGTCGTTGATTTGCCCATAATCTTCTTGACTTGTTGGTTTCCTGTAGAAAGAATGACCAGGATTGCGAATGACCAAACAAAGGTTCAGACTTCCCAGCCAAATTCCAATCAAATCAATGCAGGTGGGAGGGTTAATATTAACATATATATATATATACACATATATAACCATACATAGCTATATATAACCATTGCGAACTAACCACTTCCATTGTTCCAGCAACCCCGAAAATATTGGTCCGAAGTCTGCGCGCCTTTCGCCTTTCGCCAAAAAAGCTTCGGCTCTGAGGACGCAGCGCCTGCGAGGGGCAGAAGGTCCCACAGGGGGAACCGCTTGTTGCTCTTGGCCAGCTGCCTGACAGGCGGCATTCCCCCCCCCTTCCCGGCATCCCCAGGAAATAAGGTAATTACTTCCATTTGCTGTGTTTAAGCCCCCTGGAAAAAATTATGGGAAAATATGTCCAGTAGTGAAATCGAGTCCCAACTCACGTATTCATATTCTTAAGCAAATGGAAGGGATGAAGCCATGGCCCCGGTATCGACCCTGTCAAAGCGTCGTTTAGGAACTCGCAACTGGGTTGGGCCACAAAAACAGGAACCCAGGCCCCAAGTGCCATGCAAAAAAGGGCGCTCGCTTTTTCTTTTTTTTGGTAGTTACTTTGTTGACTTTAAAGGGGACACCCCTCCCCAAAAAGGCGAAAACAGGAAGAAACCAAAAAACGTAACCAAACTGTTGATCCATTAAACGGGTCCAAAAGGTTGAAAGTCCGAAACGGAACTCAGCTCTCCAACCCAAACGGCACGGTAGCAAACAACTTTGTTCGGGCCCCACCAAACATGAACAACACCAACCAACCTAACACTGGGGCCTTGACCAAACATGGGAACCCAACATATGCGTCAACAATCCTGAAGCTAGCGAGTGACATACAAATGACACATGGAATTTTCATCAAGACCGGAGTCCGGCGAGTCCGTCGACCGACCGGCAGCCCGGCTCAGTGGGGCCTGAGGGCCTCCGCCTGGCGCTGGTAGGCGATCAAGTTCACGGAGTTGTAGATGTCCACCTCGGAAGAAGTCACCCCCCTCGTTTGGTTTGGCCCCTTTTTCATTGGTTTCAAAAAGGGCGGGAAATTGTCCAAATAACCAAAACACGAATGGAGATGTAGCTGAATAGGAAGTTGGTGGGCTACTTTAAAACTACATTTAGAAATTGTACAGGTCAAGTATTAGAAATCCCTCTGCCACATCCACCTGAGCTTGGCCCACATCTCCGGGTTGCTCCAACTCCCCCCATTGGCGAATTCGCATGCAGTATTGGACGACAAGAGGTCTGGGAAAAAAACATATATTTGCTTGCTTAATCAATGTTCAGCCCTACACCAAGGAGGCAAAGACCCAGGGGCAAAATAATTATAGTGAGGCTGTGTCCTGAGGCAGGCTTAGGCAATCCAACATATCCTTTGGGGTCAAGCCAACTTACGGTTCTTAAAGGCCCCCTACTGTTAGTCACTAATCGCCCACTTTTGCCAGCCAAATATCGGACCCTTCCCTACAAGCAAAGGGTCATAGGGAATGGTCCGTGGGGTTCTGCCACGGGGAACCCTTTTCCTCTGTTGGCTTTGCTTGCTTGCATGCCGTGTTTCCCAGTTGAGTTTGGAGCTGGACAAAAAAGCGGAACTAAAAGGTGCAAAAGAAAAGGTCGCCTTGGGCAAGTGAGGCTTTGTTTCCTTTCTGCTCTGCGATTCGTGGCGGCAAATGCCACTCTCGCATTGCCTGGGGGTCGCTTTCACATTTGTTCCCTCCTGTGGTTCAAGTCTGAAGCCTGACGCCTGAGTGTGCAGCCGTCCAGGCAGCTCAAAGTCATGCACCGGCAGCTTGCACCATCACCAGGGACAAATGCAAGCATCACCTGGGTTTCCTCTTCAAAAGGTGCAGATTACTGGCAGGTTTCAATCAACATCTGGACAAGCCACATTTCTTCACCGACCGAACGTAAGGGGCCCCAAGACAGGAACCTTTCGGCAACGTCGCGTTGCAACCCCCAAAACATGACGTCGCGGTTTCCTCTGACCAAATCAAATGATCATACGTCGAAGCTCCAAACAGGATATATACCTTGAGGCGCAATGGGCACTCCTTGAACCGTGCACTGCTCACTTCGCTGATGGAAGGGCAGCATAGAAAGGACTTCCCGTTGCTTTTCCCTTTCCCATGATGGGAACCACATTAGTTGGACAGCAACTGAAACACTTGTCAAGGACAACTAAGTTATGTTGATGTGACTTGAGTTTCATGATTGCTTTCTGCTTGCCGGGCCGCAGTCTCAAATTTGGTCATCTTCTGCACCCTATCCTTCTTGTCGACATTCAAGATCATGAAGAAGCCGTCCTTCCAATGAGCTACAGACATATGGGATGTATGTTTTGGAGTCACTAGAGGTCCCGCTCAGGGGTGTTCGCGAGAAAGAAAACACAACCGTAGTGTGCAGCATAGCATATAAATCTATCTCTATATATATATATATATATCTATATACAACTTGCTATATGTATACATATACATGTAAACATATATGCATATGTGGAGCCGTCTTCCACGCACTGCCACTGCACCTGTGATAAGAGATAGGCAACCAAGAAACAACTCTGCCGCTGCATTGCTTCCAGTGCGGGCTCCGGATGGTAGTACACCCTTGAACGTGAGTAGTGGGTTCCCAGCATAACCACTTTGGTGGTGGTCTGGATTGCCCTGCCGCGAGGACGGTCTATAATGACTGCGGGCCCTGAACCACCTACGAACATCACGTGCGCACGTGCAATCATCCCTGAGCAAAGCCCTTGGGCTTGAGAAATATATATACATATATACACATACATGTAAGCTGTATTGTGTATATATGTATATACGTATGCTGAATAGGCATCTCCGAATGAACTGGCGGGTTTGTTTACCGATCTGCTTGGTTGGATTCGTACATCCATGTATGAAGCCTTTTGTTGGAGTTCGCCAGGCACAAATAAAGAGTATAATTGGAAACTTCATCTCCGCGGAGCCCAAGCGTCTCATGAGACATGATGGGCAGCACGGCGCTCCAGCACGTAAAGCCCAACCACAGCGGCTAACCGCGCCGCACCACACACAACACCCAATTCAACGGACAGCATTCCAGCGAGCCACCCAGGCAAGCAGGCAGCATCAGGCCAAAATCAGAACAAGCGACACAACATCACCCCTAGACTGTGCAAGGAGGGATGCGGACCACGGCAGTCAAGTTTCAACAATGCACGAAGGAAGAGACTGCGGCAAAAATGCAGGTAAAGCCAAGAGGAGAAGCCGACCTGTGCAGTCTAGCCACAATCAAAGCGGAGCAACAAAGTAAAAACCCAGCAAAGTTCCACTACCATGCAGGGAGAGCACAAGTATGCACAAGTCATGTCCGAAGACTTGGGTCACATGTCGAACCAGGCCGGTCATCTCCGCCAAGAGCATTGGCAGAAAGCAGCACATGCGAGATACGAAGCACCATCATGAGCGGAGGCGATGCACTCCACACACTGCACAGGGACCCACGAAGATCACCACCACCACCAACCCCGGCTCCAAACTCCGCACCACCAGAAAGCGGAGCAGAATGCGATGCGCAACTTCTGAAGAAAGACGTTGCCTGCACGAGAAAATAAGGAAAAGGCGACCACGAAGTCCACACGGCCAGAGGAGAGCCCCACGAAGGCTGCACAGTGTACGCACCATGTTCACGGCAGGTGCAGACAGAAGCCTCACAAAATCCAGCGCGAAACGCAGGGCGAGGCCACAAATCATGCCAGCCCCGCCCCTGCTGCCCACAAAGCTGAGGCCGGGGAGCGAGACCAGACAGAGGAAGAAGAGGAGCGCCGTGAAGGCCAGGGCCCCAAACACGCTCAGCGGGAGGAAACCTTGGCCACATCCGTGAGAACACGAAGCGCAGCACGAACAAAGGCTGGAGCCATGCTGTACCACCGCTTTGGAAGTTCTGGTTGGGCCTACCTGGATCGGGCATAGGTACCCTTCTAGGTCAAGGACCACGAGCATGAGGAGGGCCAGCAGGGGATGACCTGGTCAGTTGTGGGCGGACCTATTGCGCAATCACCTTTTGGGTCATGTTGTTTTGAGGTAACCTGGTGTTGCAATGATCAAGTATTGGAGTTGCATGGTCACCGTGAAGAGCGTTTTGTCGCTCTTTGGTTCGTGAAAAGATATGTTGGTCTTGCAGGAAAATGGTTGTCTTTGCATATGGCAACATGCAATAAAGAATTTGAAAGGCCAACAGCTCAAGTCAGGAAGCGTGCAGAACACAAGGATTAACAAGTGCACCCACCATCGTTGATCCATGCTTGCCGAAGTTATCGGCGCAAGCCCCCCACGTGTGAAAGCTTTGAACACTGGCAGCATCCAAGAGGATCCAAATCAACCGCCTAAAGTGTTTTGTAGATGCAGTGTCCAATCAGGCATCTCGGCTCGGCGTCAGCAGTTCTGGTTCTCTTTAGAATCTGCCCACCCGTCCTCCTGCTCTGCCACTCCCACCTTGGCGTATCCGATGGCGCCCCCTTTCAGCGGGTCGACGCCGCTCTGACACAGCAGCACCGCAGCGCCGGCACCGGTGTCCACGGCCAAGCTTACCTCCCCGTCCTGGGCATCTTTTGCCCCCCCTCCTCGGCTCCCCTCAGGCTGGCGGCCAACCCGGCAAAACCAGCCGACATCTAGCTTGGTGAAAGTAGATGGGGTACAAGTTTTTCATTGTGGTTTGATTTGGGGGCAAAACCTGGGACGTCTTGCCCTCGTAGAGCAGGTGTGTCAATTTGCGAGGGGGCGGGGGTTGCGTTCCTTCTGACTCGGACACTTGCCCGACGCGTGTGCTTTTTGCTTTCCGTGACACTTCACTTGCGTTTTGTTTCATTTCACAACATGGAAGCCAAGGTGCGACAAGACTTGACGACAACAGTTGGTTGCCCAATTGCTTTGTCTTAGCTTGGTGCGCAAGTGCTGCTTGGGGATGTATCTTTCCGGGAGCCCTCTACCTTGAAACCAACCCGAACAGGGCTATGCACTACGCTGGGCCCACGCTTGGGCAACATCTCACCTCTCTATTGGCGAAAGGATGAAAGAAGACAATATGTCAATCCAGGGTTCAACGGCCAAGTAGGAAAATGATTCATCTTCACAAAGGATCCTTGTTGCACCCGGACCCCTTCCTTTTGCTTTGGCGTCAAAAAAAGACAGGGGCCCGAGTGGAAAAATACAAATACCCCTACACTGCCCTGTGGGACCATTACCCCATTTGGAGGAAACCCATTAACATGGCAACCAAATAACATTTGCGAAGAAACGAGAAACGAGATACGAAGACTTTCACAAACAGCTCCCCCCACTGGCATTGCAAACACTTCGACTAATAGGGACGTCTTGGGCAGTTGCCTGTATCCAGACGCCCCTCTGGACATTTGGGAAACAAGGCAACTTTTTTTAGGTAGAAAACAAACACCGTAAATAGGGGCCCTTGTAGCGTTCCTGTCGGGACTTTAAGCGGGCTCCCCTGAAACAGGTAAAAGAGGGGCCCATATAGCATCCCTGTCTGGAGTTTAACGCATCGGGCTGTTAGATGTCCGCAATGCGAGACGCAAACGCGCAAAACGTTCAGAAGCTGTTTGAAGATGTTGATGAACATGTTTCATGTGTTGGAAAGTCATAGTCTCAGAGCTGTGGTGGCACAGTTGCAATCAGTTTCTGCATTCATATAAATACAGCGACAAATCCAACATGCCTCAGTCTCACATGCGAGTGACCCTTTTGATCATGTTCGGAATCGATCCATTTGTTTTGTTCTCCATGGCTAAGGCACATGTAATATATTGCTGCGGTATAGGGCTTTGAGACAGCTGAAAGTCAAATACATTTGTGTCTGTTTTCGGGTATCTAACAGCCCGATACCGATTTTAAAGGAGTTCCCCCGTTTGACAAGTTGAACAATACCGAAGCCACCCCACTTGCTGGTGCTCAGTAGGGAATGAGGGAATGAACTGAGGGGTCCCCAGAAAGGAAACCAGGTTTGCAGGGGTCTGAGCAGCAATCCTGCTGGGCTGGGGAATGCCCGGCTCCGGCCTTGCGGCAGATGATGCTCTTGCCATCCTCTGAGGCTTCCTCAGCTTCGGTGAGCTCCAGGAGCGCCCGTGTGAAGATTTTTATGACTCCCGGGCGCAACGCCTTGTGTCCAACAAGCCACACCCGCTGACCACAAACCCGTGGGTTCTAGCTGTATAATTCTCCCGAAAGGCTGTACCGATCGTTTGCCCAGATGGGTTGGGGACCCGTCGGCCTGGATGTAAGACCTTTTGGGACCGTCTCAAGCCGAATTCGACTCAGCTGGCGACCCTGCAGTGCACCAGCTCGCTGGGCTTCGCCAAGTGCCAAAAAATCAGGACGCTTTACCCAAACAGCCATCCCTTTTGTCACGGTTAAGACAACTCGGCGACTGTCGCGTTCTGGGCTGTTTCTCGATTCCTGACGGTGACCTGGCTTTCTGGGCACAACGTTCCGTATGTGGCAAAACATTTAGAGTGGCGGTTTCCAGCCTTCAAGTTCCGTATAGGCACCAGGGTCAAACATTGCTACAGGACAAGGTGCGTGGCATCCGCAATATCCGCAAGGACGCATTTGTTCAGCAATCCCATCCCCATGTTTGCGGCCCTCTAATTACACACGACGATCCGTATTGTGCGGTTCCAAGTTACGGCCCTACCCAACGAGGAATTTGCCGGGGATCGACCTACCCCCGTGGCAGAGCCAGTATCAACCCCAAGGCTTCAAATCCAACGGGTCACCCAAACAAAAGGCTTCGTGGCAAACACATGAACATTGACCATGCCGTTTTTCACTTCCAGTCCTTGGCATGGCAAACAAAGTTGCTCTTGCAGCCACCGAACATGAGCAGCGCCAAAACACAAGCCTACCAAACAGGTGCCAAGAACATCGAACATCAACTGCTCAGAACTCCGACCTGTTTCCCTTTGTGGCTTCCCACCCCCGCCCCACCCCTTTTTTTGGGGATGTCCAACTTTTTCTTCATGAGCCAGAGGTCCTCTGCAGTTTTGGAAGTGGACAGTGCAGCATCCAAAACCCTTAGCTTCCATGATCATTTTGTGGGAGGGTATCCACCTGTCTACTAACAGCCAAGGAACCCACCAGAGAGGGTCAGGAAAAATCCGACTTCCACGCCCTTAGTCAGGTTCCATGTAATGTTGACCCCATATTAATCAACCTCTGTTTATTCATATTGAAGTGTGTCCCTGGTTTTAGTGGGGATTCAGACCAGAACAATAACCGGAATCTGGAGCCGGAGCGGCGATTCTCACCTCCGGAGCCATGCGCCCAGGCGAAGGCATCCCGAAGGTGGAGAGGGTGCGCAGCTCGATCTGCACCAACTCCTGCCATGGGAAATCAGTGGCCGGGTGTTGGGAAGGGGGGGGAAGGGGGGTTGAGGGGGGGAGGGTTTGGAGGGGAGGGTTGGGTTGCAGGACATTATGCTGGAAACAGCATGTTTACGGTGTTTTGGGGCCATTTCCGGCAGATTTTCCTGTAACCAAACCGTGGTGATTGAAACGACGAACATGGAACCAACTCACAACTCAGGAAAATGGGCCTCTAGAGGAGCATGAGCCAAGCGGCTTCATTTTTGTAGTAGGTACAAGAGCGGGTTGATTGGTTGGGCCTTCACGAAGCAAAATAGCGCTACATCTGACCAACCATGCTGAGTTGACTGACCAATTAAAGGACCGGATAACCCCACATGTCCATGCTTATGAAGATGCGCCACACTTACATCGATTGAGGATCGCAGGCTGTTTTTTTTGCATGCGCCAAGCTCTTCTGGTAAAAGCACCTCCCCAATAGTGGGTCGCGCGCAAGCAGCCTGTCTTCGAAAGTCACGCTTGTAGCCGCGTGTGATCGCGGCAATACCAATAAGCATCGCTCGACAGTGTCCAGCCACAAAGCTTGAGGTGTCTATGTGACTCCCACCACGGGCGCACTTTGGCCGACATTCTGTACTCACAGGAGCGACAGTAAACAGTGACTCGCCACCCATCTGGGAGCTTGGGGTGTTGTCGTGCGCGCGGCTATGGGCCCCCATCTCGCGTGGCAGGCGCACCACTTTGGAGATGCAAGTGCTGAAGTCGTGGCAGGGGCAGTACTTCGTGCACCTGGGCTTGCGTTCACGTGCATGCCTTTGTTTTTTTAATGAGCTGACCGCGCGCGCTTGGCTGAAGCGCGGCCAACGGGCTCAACCCGACCTGCGCCAGGTGCGCGAAGTACTGCGCCTGCCACGATTTCAGCACTTGCATCTCCAAAGTGCTGCGCCTGCCACGTGAAATGGGGGCCCACAGCCGCGCGCGCGACAACACAGCTCCCAAATGCTGCCCCTGCCACGCAAACGCACGCCCAGGTACACAAAGTACTGCGCCTGCCACGACTTCAGCACTTGCATCTCCAAAGTGCTGCGCCTGCCACGCGAGATGGGGGCGCGCGACAACACCCCAGCCCTTTAGACAGCTCCCAAATGCTGCCCCTGCCACGCAAACGCAAGCCCAGGTGCACGAAGTATTGCGCCTGCCACGATTTCAGCACTTGCCTCTCCAAAGTGCTGCGCCTGCCACGTGAAATGGGGGCCCACAGCCGCGCGCGCGACAACACCCCTGCCCTTTAGACAGCTCCCAAACGCTGCCCCTGCCACGCAAACGCAAGCCCAGGTACACGAAGTACTGCGCCTGCCACGACTTCAGCACTTGCACCTCCGGCCCACAGTCGCGCGCGCCACAACATCCCAGCCCTTTAGACAGCTCCCAAATGCTGCCCCTGCCACGCAAACGCAAGCCCAGGTGCACGAAGTATTGCGTCTGCCACGACTTCAGCACTTGCCTCTCCAAAGTGCTGCGCCTGCCACGCAAGATGGGGGCCCACAGCCGCGCGCGCGACAACACCCCAGCCCTTTAGACAGCTCCCAAATGCTGCCCCTGCCACGCAAACGCAAGCCCAGGTGCACGAAGTACTGCGCCTGCCACGACTTCAGCACTTGCATCTCCAAAGTGCTGCGCCTGCCACGCGAGATGGGGGCCCACAGCCGCGCGCGCGACAACACCCCAGCCCTTTAGACAGCTCCCAAATGCTGCCCCTGCCACGCAAACGCAAGCCCAGGTGCACGAAGTACTGCGCCTGCCACGATTTCAGCACTTGCCTCTCCAAAGTGCTGCGCCTGCCACGCGAGATGGGGCCCACAGCCGCGCGCGCGACAACACCCCAGCCCTTTAGACAGCTCCCAAATGCTGCCCCTGCCACGCAAACGCAAGCCCAGGTACACGAAGTACTGCGCCTGCCACGACTTCAGCACTTGCATCTCCAAAGTGCTGCGCCTGCCACGCTGGGGGCCCACAGCCGCGCGCGCGACAACACCCCAGCCCTTTAGACAGCTCCCAAATGCTGCCCCTGCCACGCAAACGCAAGCCCAGGTACGCGAAGTACTGCGCGCCACGACTTCAGCACTTGCACCTCCAAAGTGCTGCGCCTGCCACGCGAGATGGGGGCCCATAGCCGCGCGCACGACAAGACCCCAAGCCCACAGCCATTCAGCACTTGCAAAGTGCTGCGCGTGCCACTGCCACGCAAACGCAGCCCAGGTGCCACGACTTCAGCACTTGCATCTCCAAACTGCGCCTGCGCACCACTTCAGACACTGCTGCCCCTGCCACGCAAACGCAAGCCCAGGTGCACGAAGTACTGCGCCTGCCACGACTTCAGCACTTGCATCTCCAAAGTGCTGCGCCTGCCACGCGAGATGGGGGCCCACAGCCGCGCGCGCGAAACAACACCCCAGCCCTTTAGACAGCTCCCAAATGCTGCCCCTGCCACGCAAACGCAAGCCCAGGTACACGAAGTACTGCGCCTGCCACGACTTCAGCACTTGCATCTCCAAAGTGCTGCGCCTGCCACGCGAGATGGGGGCCCACAGCCGCGCGCGCCACAACATCCCAGCCCTTTAGACAGCTCCCAAACGCTGCCCCTGCCACGCAAACGCAAGCCCAGGTGCACGAAGTACTGCGCCTGCCACGATTTCAGCACTTGCCTCTCCAAAGTGCTGCGAGTGCCACGCAAGATGGGGGCCCACAGCCGCGCGCGCGACAACACCCCAGCCCTTTAGACAGCTCCCAAATGCTGCCCCTGCCACGCAAACGCAAGCCCAGGTGCACGAAGTACTGCGCCTGCCACGATTTCAGCACTTGCATCTCCAAAGTGCTGCGCCTGCCACGCGAGATGGGGGCCCACAGCCGCGCGCGCGACAACACCCCAGCCCTTTAGACAGCTCCCAAATGCTGCCCCTGCCACGCAAACGCAAGCCCAGGTACACGAAGTACTGCGCCTGCCACGACTTCAGCACTTGCATCTCCAAAGTGCTGCGCCTGCCACGCGAGATGGGGGCCCACAGCCGCGCGCGCCACAACATCCCAGCCCTTTAGACAGCTCCCAAACGCTGCCCCTGCCACGCAAACGCAAGCCCAGGTGCACGAAGTACTGCGCCTGCCACGATTTCAGCACTTGCCTCTCCAAAGTGCTGCGCCTGCCACGCGAGATTTGGGCCCACAGCCGCGCGCGCGACAACATCCCAGCCCTTTAAAAAGGTCCCAAATGCTGCCTCTGCCACGCAAACGCAAGCCGTGTGTGAGTGAGTGTGTGTGAGTCAGTGTGTGTGAGTGAGTGTGTGTGAGTGAGTGAGTGTGTGAGTGAGTGAGTGTGTGTGACTGAGTGTGTGTGAATCAGTGTGTGTGAGTGAGTGAGTGTGTGTGAGTGAGTGTGTGTGTGTGAGTGTGTGTGTGAGTGAGTGTGTGTGAGTGAGTGTGTGTGAGTGAGTGTGTGTGAGTGAGTGTATGTGAGTGAGTGTGTGTGAGTGAGTGTGTGTGGGTGAGTGTGTGTGAGTGAGTGAGTGTGTGTGAGTGAGTGTGTGTGAGTGAGTGTGTGTGAGTGAGTGAGAGCGACGGGGCGGCAGCGGCGGCGGGAGTCGGGCGCGGAGTGTGTGTGAGTGAGTGAGTCGGGCGCGGCGGCGGGGGTCGGGCGCGGCGGCGGGAGTCGGGCGCGCAGCGGTAAAAATAAGAACCCCACACAAAGATGTGGGGAAAAAACCTGGAACCTTTGGGGCCTTAGCCTACAAAATGATGGACGCAGCGACCAACAAAATCAGTCAAGTTTGAAGCTGGGCGGCAAACATGTTTGAACGTCGAAGTCCAAACATGTCACAACCTTAGGGGACCAAAAGACGGTTCGTTATGCAGGGACCCTCTTTTCATCCTGGCTCAAAAAGAGAAACCAATCCGGCGTTTCCGGGATTCTCCATTTTGCCACCGACCCAAAATTTGCTTTCCCACTAACAAACATCGCTTCCTCTGCACTTTCAGATTTGTACAAGTATAGGCGTGTCTCTCTTTTTGAAGGGACCCCCCTGAAACCCGCAAAAACAAACCGTAGCCTCAAATATATATATATATATATATATCATTTATATATATATATATGGAACACACACACTCATATGGGACGTCCGCCCGCTTCTCAGCGGAGAAGCGGCTTCCGTCCAGACTTCAAAAGGAGCCGACGGAAGGTGTCCTCCAAAAAGTCCAAGTGGAGCAAAGTCATGAAGTGGGCGTAGTAGTTGCTGAAGGAGGTCTCTGGAACCTCCACCTGGCTGGTCAAAAAGAGAGACCGATGCTGAAACGTATCCAAAACGACATATGGGCATGCGTCGAATGCCCGATCGGTAAATGGGACTTCGGTGGTTTCATTTTGACCCACAAATGGCCTGGCAGGGCGGATCGGAAGCGGATCTCCTCCTCTTGCCCACTTCGGACTGGAAACTTTTGCAAAACGGGGATCACCCCGGTGTTGCCACTACATGATGCGCCACAGGGGGATGGCCGTTCATTTTTTTTGCGGTGAAGAGGTCGATTCGCGTTGGTTGCAAGTGAGGGAGGGGTCCCTGACAGTGATAAACAAACATCGAGTTGCGAAAATAAACACTCTTTGATAAGGGTAAGCTTGATGTCACTTCCACTTTCGTGGAAGATGGTAACACCAAAGCATACATCCCAACCACGAATACTGTTTCACATTGAGCGGGGCTCCACAAGGCTATCATCACAGAATTGGCAACAAGGGATTCCAATTGAAGTGGCAACGATCGCCACCATATTCCACAACCACCTGCAAGATTCGGAGCTCATCGACTCCCCCAGTAAAAAACACCTACAGGATGGGATCTCTCGCTCGTTTCACCTTCCGAATCGGCACCGTGGGCCACTCACGAATCGGCGCGCCTTGCCCATGAGCTTCTCTACCTTGATCTCCTTGAAGGCCTGGAGGGCCTCCTGAGTGAACCTCAGGTGTGTTTTGGCTGGGAGGTATGTTTTTTTTTTGGGTGAGAGCAGACCGGATCGTGGCCTTGGCTATTTACTTGGTGGCTCATACTCGTACTCGGATCTTGTCCCGATTTGGATGTGTCCCGATTTGGAGGTGTCCCGATTTGGCGTCAAACTCGGCCGGCATGGCAGTTCCCCGGATCCGTTTTAGAACCCGGTTCCGTCGCACTCGATTCAAACACCCCCCACATCTGGGCGGATCCCAAAAACCGAACTTTCAGATTCTGTCTCAAGCTTGGTCGACCCCTAAACTCACTTTCACTTGCCCAAAGGACCCAGGAGTCCAAGGTCATCCAAAGCCATGACTAACATGGACCCACATGGCAGCAAAAGATCAAAAGGCCGGCCTTGGGCAAGTGAGGAGTGGAGTTGTGAACAAAACTGTTGCTGTTTGTCCCCCACACAGGTCTCCCCAAGTCTGAAATCCATGGAGAAGCAAACCTTGGCTTCGAGACAATGGGCTTCAATGCGTGCGCTAAGACGAATCCTTGATCTTTTGCTAGATGGCCTTAATCTGATCAACATCGTAAATCGTGTCGAATCCGTCGTCACTGTCCGACCCCTGCTTCCGGAATTCGTTCGGCCCTTGCTTCTCCAAAAACAGTACTGGGCAATTTTGGAGCTGCGGGGTTCTGACAGCTGTGGCCTCCTGCAGCTTCTTCAAGTCTACGAATTAACAACGGCATTGGTGCCAATCTGGTAGGAAGGAAAGAGAAACAAGAGAAAGAAGAAGAAAAGCAGAGTCCAGCTTGAAATCCTGACCTTCCCAACCAGTCCATTGTCAGAAGCACTTGAGACAACGCAAAAGGGTTGAAGCCGTCCTTGATCAGGTATGCTATCGCCCCGCTACCAATTCTTATCAGTGACAACCTCAAGTATATAGGCTAGGTCCTCCTGTAGAGAGGTTAGAATAAGGGTACCCTTTTCTCTCTAGTCTATTTTGGTATATTTTAGTACGGGAACCCTCCCCTAAAAAAGTTGGTAAAAGGGCACTGCTGGGGGACCTAGTAGGAACCCATAAGCAAACTTCAAGGGGCCTGAGCTGCTTTTTGCGCCCAGGCCGCTCACTGAACATGTTGCCCGCAACTTTGCACCCCAGCTAGACGCCTCGTTAGCGACGCCTCTAGCAATGCCAGCTTTCAGAAGACACATCATTGCGCCATGGTCAACAAATGCACTGTCATTGATCCTTGGGTTCACAGTTAGGCAGCATAAGGCTTTCCAGCGGACCAGTGCGAAGGTTTGCAAAAGACCTCTGTGACCGATTGGAACACACCTAGAGTACAACTGACTGCAGGCACTGCACCCCAGAAGTCGGTAAGGGAAATCAAAAGGAACGCCATTGGTCTTGGGGTACCCCTATGCTGACACATACCCATATGGGAAAAATGTCAATGCCCCGAAGCCCACTCAGTTTTGACTGTTCCTTTGAGTGGTCAAAATACGTCTTAAGTTCCTGCAATGGACATCTCACCACCCGAAATAACGTTGGGCATGAGTACCACCGCCCACCAAATGGCTATGATATTTCATAGGGAAAACATGTTAGCCGCCACGAATCCCAATCTACATGATGTCCAGCAAAGGGCCCCCTATGAAGCTCCACACCATGGGTGTGTTTCGCGCTTCTTTTTAGGGGTGGCACTTCAAAGGGAAACGAAAAGAAGACCAACAAATGTTCACCCATTCTTCCATTTGCTTGGGCTTAAGCCCCCTGGAGAAAAAAAACATGTCCAGTAGGGATAGATTCCCTTTAAAACAAACAGGGGATAATAAATCATATTCATTTCAGGAAAAGGAAGCATTTGGATCCCCCATGAAAGTTCACACCCTCATGTTTGCGCAGGCGCTGGTAGCTTTCCTCCTGCGGGAGGTCTGGGCGGCGGCAGCCCCGAAAGAAGCGCTGCATCTCGTCCAGCTCCTGACTGCTGAAGGCAGACATGGACTCATAGCTTCCATTTGCTCAAAAAGTGCCGCTCCTTTTGGCTTTCCATTTAAAACCGCAATCAAGGGGCAAACGAGCCACTTGCCTAAATCCCCTGGAATATACATATTTGTGTATATAGAGAAAACATACACACACACACATATATATATATATATACTCCAGTAATGATAGACTCCCTTTAAAGCCAACAAGGGAAAATAACAACTATTCTTAAGCAATTGGAAGCATATATGGGCTTGTATTTTTTTAGGGTGGCCGGGCAGGAAGGTTTGAGTACGGGGTATGATTCGCAGGTATGATTCGCGGGTATGATTCGGGGTATGATTCGGGGGTATGATTCGCGGAAGCAGCAGCAGCAGTAGTAGTAGCAGTAGTCGCCGAAGTAGTAGTACTAGTAGTAATAACAATAGTAGTAGTAGAAGTACTAGTAGTAGTAGCAGCAATAGCAGTAGCAGTTAGTAGTAGTAGTAGTAGTTGTTGTAGTAGTAGTAGTAGCAGTAGTAGGAGTAGTAGTAAATAGTAGTAGTAGTAGTAGTAGTAGTAGTAGTAGTAGTAGTAGTAGTAGTAGTAGTAGTAGTAGTAGTAGTAACAGTAGAAGCAGCGACTGTAGTGGCGCGAAAGCTTTGCAAAGACGCTATCTACAAAGGTACCCTAAGGTTACATATTTACAAACGTTCCCGTGATGGAAGTGATTTGGGAATAGTGGAAACAAGCTTAGATGCGGGAGTTTCTCGAGCTTTTGGATTTTTCTTGAAGCATACCAATGTGCCATGGAGAATGTGAGTTTCTCACAATCAACCTTCAAATACCGAGCAACAGGGTCCACCATTGTAGTGGACCCCTTTTTGGTTGGTATGTCAAAAGGAAAACAACCCTTTGAGGAAGTGGACCCTAGAAAGGTCCGGAAGCTGAGGTCTGGGTGGGCATGAGAGTTGAGTGCACATGCACTAAATTCACACAAGCCCCTCCTCCCAAACACCTCACCCAAAGTGGGGACGTGGCTGAATTGCGCTAGGGAAGCGTTAAACCCCGTGACTTATTCTGAAAAGGTCCGGTTGGGATCCCTTTCTTCCACTCAATCATGGGTCAACACCATCACGTTTCGAGCCTACGGGTGTCCAGTGCCAATGCAGCCAAAATTGCCGCGTAACTTGTCACCCCCCAGCCCAGCAGCACACCAAGAAGTACATGACAATAGACCCGGAAAAAAAAGAAGAAAACACAACCTCCAATCCTTGGCATGCGAGCAACAAAATTTTGCCTTCGCAGCCACCCACTGAAATGATCTGAGCCAAAACCACTAGATCCCCTCTTCCTGAGCGGAACTGTTGGAACCCGCGCCTCCTGCTCGTCCAGCGCACGCTGAAAGCCCAAGGTTTCTGGCAGCAGCCTTGGCCAGAGGAACGGTTTGGTTCGCCCAGCGAGGCGTTTTTCTTTTTCATCCGGGCGTCGTGGCCTTCTGGCCGTCAGGAAAAACCCACCAAGGCGCCGAAAACTCAGCCAGGCGGCGGCACCAGATCCTCCGAGCGTGTGGCCACGAAGTTCAGCACCAGGCGCACCATCGGCACGGGCACCGGCACCCGCGTCGTCTGAATGACAACGAAAGAAACCCCCGGTGAAAACCAGCGGCGGGACTGTTTTTTTTTTTTTTCCCCCCCGGGGGGGGGGGGGGACCTTGTTTTTTTTTTTTTGGGGGGGTGGCTTCTCTTTTGGGGGGGGTCCCCCTGTTTTGACACACACACACGCGCATATGTCCAAAATGCACCACCCGGAGTGAAGAATGTTGGGGTCTGTGCTACAGGGCTCCCTCTTTGGGATTCTTTGACACCCAGAAAAGCACGGCGCAGTTGCCCTGTGAGTAACACGGCAACCAAGCCGCTAAGGTCTCCAGCAGCTTGTGGAAGCTATTCACGTCCAGCTGCTCCTCGCATTGAAGTGGCGCCGTTTGGGAAGACACGGTTGCCCCTAGCCAGACGACTCTGGGGCTAGTGAGGAATGCAAGGAATGTACAGGGACATGTATTGAGCATTTTGTAGCAAAACACCACAGCCACACAAAGACAACTCACTGAATCAAAGCAACCAGAAGAGGAACAAGAGGAACCAACAGTCAGACTCGTTCTTTTGACTTTTGGACGTTCACTGTTGACGGAGGAGATGCTGCACTGCTTTTGCTGTTAGAAAGAGCGCGCGAGGGCCCTGGTCAACATTGGAAGTTTCAGGGCGCTTGGATGTAAACGTGTTGGAATGATTAACATGCTGCACCACCCGGTGTCAACGCCGTACTGATCAGTGGCAAAATGAAAAGGTGGTGCCAGATTTCGTCCGTCAACCGGCCGCGCTGCTGTTTGTAAAGAACCCCCGCGCAGCAGACAGAAAAGGAATGGAAAACAAAAAGGACAAAGGAAACAGAAAGGTCAGAGACTGTGCTCTTCTGCCTGCTTTGTTCTGTTTGTTCTTTGAATTCTGTCTGCGTTGTGCTGTTACTTCCCCTCCCTCCATTCTGTCTTGTCTGTTGTATCTCTCTTCAACTTCCCTTTATGCTCTGATTTCTTCCCTCCTCCATTTTTCCCTCTCCGGAAAAAAAGCGCTTCTAGCTTTCGCGAAAACAATCCGAGTTTGTTCAATGTAGTGCTCATTCTAGTTTTCAAGTTTCAATTGATGCAGTGTTCCGCCACTAGCCACCCGGACCTATGCTAATGAACCATGGCTGACCAAACCCTGCACCGCTTTTGCGATGGCTTACAGGAACACTCACGCTCCTCCCCATTTAACATTGGACGTTTCAGGGCCGTTTCAGTGCCCTTTGTTGCAACTGTTTTGGAGTGACCGCCTCAATCCTGCGCCACCTGTTGTGAATGCCAGCAGCATTGAAAAGGGGAGCGCGCTTTGCGGCCTGTTCAGTGGCAGCATGGGGGTTGGGAGAGGCGGTACAGGATTTCGTCCGTCAACTGCAGTACCTCACTCGCAAAGACCCGCTAGAGGCGCAACTCACAATCCACCATATAGGTGTGGGTGTGGGCAATGACCCGTTCTATCCCTTTGTGCCAAAGTAGGCAACCCCTACGACTGCTTCGGCACTTGCAAGGGATTCTCCGGGTATGGCAGAATGCGAGCATTTTCTGTCGCAACTTGTTTCCTAAAGAACTACAATCGTACATGTAGAGCTTAGCGACATATGCCTTGTTTGCCGGATTGTTGCGAATAGCAATCAGCGGAAGCGCTGTAATTTTCTATGATTTGTGGATATCTGGTTTGCAGCCTTCAGGGCAGTTGCCCATCTGGATGCACCCGCCCCCGTTGTTTTGGGAACACCTGATTCTTGCAAACACAAAATTTACAACAACCATATCTCAGCGATACTCTCCCACAAGTGGATCGGCGAGGCTCACAACAGCAACCGAGGGCCAGAACACCAAAGCACCGACTTATCTTTGTTGATGGGACTTCCGTCTTGGAGCTGATGACGCATGGATAGGGGGATGACATCACGGATGACCTCTTGCAGCAATTGGGGGCTAAGCATGGTGTCAAGTGGAGGTGGCTTCCCTTGCTCCAGCACAAGCCCATCCGGCGGCAACTGCCTGTGGTACGACCACAGGTTCATAACTTGCAAAGCTGTAGCTGCTTAGCCGCCCCCGCTGATAGTTCTTGGCGTTCCGGCCGTTATTCTGGCCTCAAGGCGCCCCCACTTGGACAATGGGCCTGGCCTCCCTAGTCGGGACTGTGCCTTCATCACCCAGCCACCCCCAAAAACAAGATGAAGAAACAAAAGCACGAAACAGAAAAGACTCGCCTACTGCCGACCCCCAAAAAAAATCAACCCAGTTTGGGAATCAGACCGCTTTTGGAGCAGCCCAAGCCACAACCCCCGTATCAATAAACTCGGCTTGTTTCATGTGGGGTCAACATTAGCTCTGGTGGTAAGGTGGTGGAACATTTTGGATGTCCTTTTCTCGGGGGGTAGCAAGTGGCTTCTTTGGGGAGTTGCAACCAACATCACCGATTAAGGTGATTTAGATGTTCTTTTTTGTGTGTGATGAAGGCACAGCCCCGATTAGGGAGGCCAGGCCTTGAGGCCAGAAGCACCAGCCGGGGCACCAAGAACTATCGCGGGGGGCGGCTAAGCAGCTGCAGCTTTGCAAGTTATGAACCTGTGGTCGTACCACAGGCAGTTGCCGCCGGATGGGCTTGTGCTGGAGCAAGGGAAGCCACCTCCTTACACCATGCTTAGCCCCCAATTGCTGCAAGAGGCCATCCGTGATGTCATCCCCCTATTCATGCGTCATCAGCTCCAAGACGGAAGAGGCCATCCGTGTTTGGGACCCGACAAACGACGGGCCGGCACGCCCGCTTGCCAGCGCCTCGGTCTCTGCGACGCAGCGCAGGGCCTTGGTGAACTCCTGGACCCCACCTGCCGAGCCGAATGGGTGGGGTGTGTGTGTGGGTGTGTGCGTGTGTATTTGAAGGGGCATGTTTTTGGGTGGCTTAAAAGGGAAGCCCAAAGAACTACCATGGGGAGTCCCCTAGAGAGCAAGATATGCCCAAATGGAGCTGAAGCTCGCCGAGAGGATCAAAGTCACTACGGCCCCAAGGTTGTTTGCGCTTGGTCCAGGGCGTCAGCCCTTCAAGCGTAGGCTTCTCGTCACAGGACCGCGCCCCTTAAAGAGGGGCGCTCACCTTGCAATTAGCGCCAACTAACTTGGCTCGCGGAACATGAGCATGACTTTCAGACGGGGCCTTCACCTGTAGTGGGGAGCAGGTATCCAGTGGATGCAGACATTTTTTGGTTCTTCGTGCTGTCACTCAAGGCCTTGCTCGACGATGACGCCCAACGGAAAAAGGAGTCTTGACAGCTTTGACCCTGGCAAACACGATGAGGTTCAACATCAAAGGGCCGGAATCTACAGCTGTCGTGTTTGGTCGGGAGAAGGCCATGGTCAAATACCCCCGTAGTGGCTGACATCCTTAGGGGAGCAGCCAAGGAGAGAGTGGGCATGTTTTGTTGTCGCTCCCCTCCGCATGTGGGACCCAGTTACACGGGAACCAAGCCAACATGTGGGGCTCTCCGGAAAGCTGTTCAGATTCTGTTTGTCATATTTAGTCTCCCCCGCCAAAAAAGAATTAAAGACAGAAAGAAAGAAGGCAAGAAAGAAAGATAAGATTGACAGATTCAAATATTGAATTAATTAAATAAATAAATAATAAATATATAATAACTAAATGAATAATTAAATAAACAAATATTGCAAGAACGACATAATGAAAGAAATATCGTAAGAAGTAAGACCGACAGAAAGAAATAAAAAAAAAAGAAATAAAGAAAGAAACAAAGACAGAAAGAAAGTACACATGACAGAATGAAATAAATAAGTAAATAAATAAATAACGAAAGAACGAAATAAAGAACGAAAGAAAGAAAGAAAGAAAGAAAGAAGGACAGAAAGAAGGAAGGAAAGAAAGAAAGAAAGAAAGAAAGAAAGACAGAAGGAACGAAAAAAACCATGACATAAATAAATAATTAAATAAATAAATAATGAAGAACAAAATAAAGAAAGAAAGAAAGAAGGAAGGAAAGAAGGAAAGAAAAAAGAAATAAAGAAAGAAAGACAGAAACAAATAAAACATGACAGACAGAAAGAAAGAAAGAAAGAAAGAACGAAGGAAAGAAAGAAAGAACAAAATAAAGAACGAAAGAACGAAATAAAGAAATCAATAAAGAAGGAAAGAACTAAAGAAAGAAATAACGAAAGAACAAAATAAGGAACGAAAGAACGAAAGAAAGCAAGAAAGAACAAAATACAGAACGAAAGAAAGAAAGAAAGAAGGAAGGAAAGAAGGAAAGAAAGAAAGAAAGAAACAAAGAAATACATAATTGATAACGAAAGAACAAAATAAAGAAATAACAAAAGAACAAAATAAAGAACGAAAGAACGAAAGAAAAAAAGAAAGAAAGAAAGACATCAAGAAAGAAATAGCAAAAGAAAGACAGACACAAATAAAACGAAAGAAAAACAAAATAAAGATCGAAAGAAAGAAAGAAAGAAAGAAAGAAAGAAAGAAAGGAAAGAAAATAAGAAAGAAATAAATAAAGAAATAACGAAATAATTAAAGAAATAAAGAAAGAAATAACGAAATAACAAAATAAAGAACGAAAGAAAGAAAGAAAGAAATAAATAAAGAAATAACGAAAGAACGAAATAAAGAACAAAAGAAAGAAAGAAAGAAAGAAGGAAAGAAAGAAGGCAAGAAAGAAATAAAGAAAGAAAGAAATAACGAAAGACCAAAATAAAGAACGAAAGAACGAAAGAACAACATAAAGAACAACATAAAGAACGAAAGAAAGAAAGAAAGAAAGAAAGAAAAGAAAGAACGAAAGAAAGAAAGAAAGAAGGAAAGAAAAAAAGACAGAAGGACATCAATAAATAAATAACGAAGAACAAAACAAAGAACGAAAGAAAGAAATAAAGAAAGAAACAAATAAAACACAGAAGGATATAAATAACACATGACACAAATAAATAAATAAATGAATAAATACATAAATAACGAAGAACGAAATAAATAACGAAATAAATAACGAAAGAAAGAAAGAAAGAAATAAAGAAAGAAAGAAAGAAATACAGAAGGAAAGAAATCAAACATGACAGAAAGAAAGAAAGAAAGAAAGAAAGAAAGAAAGAAAGAAAGAAAGAAAGACAGAACGAAATAAAGAAAGAAATAAAGAAGGAAGGAAAGAAGGAAAGAAGGAAAGAAGGAAACAAGGAAACAAGGAAAGAAGGAAAGAAGGAAAGAAGGAAAGAAGACACAACAACACACAAGGTTCCCCAGAAACGAGGAGGGCTGCTTTTTGCCTCAAACCCCCTCCGTTGGACTCACTCCCTTTCCCGGTCTGAACCGCCGCCTTTCTTCGCCACGACTAACAGCAAGGAGGCCAAGCGATCCGTGGTGAAGTTCTGCTTGGTATGTCCTCGGATTGCGACAAGTCAACCACAAAGCTCTGGAAGGACCCTGGAGCTAGGACCCAAGCAAGTGTTTTTTTCTCTTCCGCCTGGTTCGTGGAAAACAAAGAGAAACCTCAAAAAGGCAACACATCAAAAAGGAAAGGGCTAAGCCTGGAGAGACCGAAAAGGTGACATCGGGGCAAATAGGCCCTTCCTTTTTGCATACTAGTATCGGACTCATACTAGTATCTGACTATCAACTGAGCTGGGTGTACGTCAAATGGTGATAATCTATTGGAACTTTGACTCTTGCTGGTTCTCAGTAGCCAGTAGCGAATCACCGAAGGTTCTTGAATAAACCGTTCGGGATCCCCCAACAGAAAACCATAAGAATGATCCTCCAATTCCATTGTTCTAGTCTTACCAATGGAAAGCAACATGGAACTCCACATGGAATTCAAGGGGTAGAATCCCCCGTGCCCCAATTCCATTAAGTGGGCCTGGATAATATTTTTTCAGCTTGGGGTGATTCCCTCATTCCGGGAAGCAACCAGCGGGTTGATCACAAAAGGATCCGGAAGACCGGATCGATTCTTCAGTCACCCGAAAGTTAAAAACAATGGTGCCGTTTTGGAACGAGGAGGAACATGTCGTTCCAGGACAAACTCGGTCGGAAGGCCGCCTCAAATTTGAGGTTTCCCTGCTGGTTTCCCTTTCAAACCAGCCAAAAAGGAGCACCCTCACACATTTTAGCCTGAGTGCACTGGCCAACAAAAGTAAGCAAACTTTGGCTTACCACCAAAATGCTTCATATTTAGTCTACCCTGGAAACTTTTGGAGGGCGGGCTTTCTAAAGGGAATCCTTGCGGTCAACCTTCAACCCCAAATTCCGAATGCATCGTTTTCCTTGTTAGTCCAGGGCAAAGATGTCTCAAGGATGGTCCTTGGCACGTTGACCCACCAAAAGCATCCCCATGGAACCCGAACAATTGCCCCGGGATGCTTTCCCACAGGGAGACCAATTGTCGGACACAGGACCTTTGCAACCGAATTGGTTTGAACTAGTCCTAAAACACCCGAAACCCAAGGCCAACACCTCCGGATTTACATGGGAAAAAGGGCACTGTTGCCAAAATCACTCTGAGAACCAACCAACCAGTTTCTGACCTTAATGTTGACCCCGGATGTTTGGTGTTCCCCTCCAAAAGTGATGACCCACCCCACTAAAACCACACCTCCATATTAATAAGTTGGGGGTGATTATGGTTAATTGAATCCTGAGTTGACATTAACCCCATGAACAGTGGGAAAAGGTATTGGAGGTTTTTGGAAGGTTGATGATGGAGACTGGTACGAAAGAACATGGAAGGATTTAATATGCAATACACAAGTTGAACATTAGTATTCAGCTTCCCCCTCAGTGGTGATTTGGATTGGCGGTTCGCTGGTTTAGGGGGGGTTCCCTTTGAAAAATTCCCCAGTTCAACTCCAGATCCAAACCGGGCTCCGAACCGCCCATCAGGAAAAGCCTGAAATCTACGATCTCAGCTTTCCAATTTGTTAGGTAGCTTCTTGTTTCCAGCGATTTCACCTTGTACAGGCAGTCTTTGTGGCTCTCTTTGATCCAAGGCATTTGACCGTTGGTCTCAGCTTTGAGGGGTCGGGCCGGTCTCAGGTTCCGAGTTGCGGAAGAGCTCCTTGAAGTTCCCCTCGCGCACCAACTTGTTCCACCGCCTCAGGAAGCGCGGGCGGACGGAAGGCGCGCAGGGGGCTGTGTGAGCCTCGCTTTGTGAGGTGCGGCAAAACGAGCCGAGCGTTCCACGCTTGGGTGCCCGGTTGAAACAACAGTGAGAAACAGTCAGCTAGAACACCCAAGCAAATGGTATAGATGGCCATTAAATGGGTCCAGCAGGCGGGAGCTATCTGCTAATTGATTGATAATGACTAGACGTTTTCCAGCTTGAGCGTGGCGGGAACGAAAGCAAGCAAACAGGCATTCTTTGTGAACGATGCAAAAATGCTGGCCAAAACACACCTCAGTTTTGGCCCGGGCACTGTAACATCGCTAAGCATACGTTCTGGGGACAACTCCAGCAGTGCCTTCCTAACCTGGTTGCAAAGGACACTCCCCATATTCTTGGTTGCCGTTGGAAGGGGAGCAGAAAGTTAAATTTTAGCAGTTAAGTGGGGATTTCCCACTAAACCACAATAAGCAAAAATGCAAAATCTTTCCCAACAACAACCATGAATTTCCTCTTCAAACATCACCCCCAAAGGAAACTCATTTTGAACCTTGCCAAAAGGTGATGTTCAAAAACAGCAAGAGGAAACTCAGGGAACCCAGGAACAAGGGAGAGCCTGCAACTCACCCTTTGCGCGTGGCTGGGGAATTGGCCCAGCCCGCAGGGTGAGATGTGCACAGCTGCCCGAAGAGGACTAATGTCGACCCGGGATTAATAAACCTAATTAGGGGGGTGTTCGCTCCAAAAGTGGAGCGAATCCAACCACTAAAAGGGAGCACCCCCTGATGAAAATCACCCAGGGGTTCTGCTTAATGGGGTGAACATTACGGAATCTTGTTCAAGGGCGTCAAGCCGAGTTGGTTCCGTCCTTGGCCTGCGACTTGTTAACCTTGCACCCGGTGTCCTGTTTAAATCCTGGGCTCCAGGAACAGGAATTCAACTCAGTTTCGACAATCCAGTAGAACCACCTGGCTGTGGCTCAAACAATAGGCACCCAAAATGGAACCCTGGTAAGTGGAAACATGGACCAAAACCTGCGTAACCTCCTGTGTAATTTTGAGCCACACTTACCTGACAAAATTGCCTTCTGAAATCGGTTTTGGGCGCTGCTCAGTCGGTTCTCTGCAGCCTGAGGCACTTCTTGCTGATGGGCCCAGACTGGTTGGTCTGCTGACGAGCGGGTTTGGTCTGCTGACGACCGGGGTTGCCTCCCTTCAACTTGTTGACCTCAGTGAGGAAAAAGAAGTAAGTCCAAGTGTGAAATAATAAACCCTGGCATTAAAATGGCGTACCCAAACCAATGAACATAATTCAAAAGGCGGTCGCAACCAACTGCCTTTGGGAGTGTCCCAGTAAACTACTAATATTTGGCCCATTGGACTCCGGGAAAATGGTGGACAACACGTATCAAGAGCAACCAAAGGTGTTGTTTGTTTCACGAGGTCCGTCTTTTTTTTTTTAAAAAAAAAAATCCCCACGTATCAAGAGCCAAGCCAAAAAGAAGACTCAATGCCGCCAAGTGTCCTGCTTCTGGTGGCGCTTGCCCTTGAGATGCTGCTGCAAATCAATGGCGCTGGTACAGGTCCTAAGCGAAAAAAATGGGCGGGCGAGGGACCTGCACTTCCACTCGGTCCTCCAAAGTGACATCCTTGCTGGTGCGCTTGGTGGGGAATGAAAGAATGAAAGGTTCCGTGTGTTTGGAAAGCATTTGAGGATTCCAACTTGACCACCTTGGATGGTCGAAAAAGTGGTCCTTCCATTTCGCATGCCTATCGCGCCCGCCTCTCGCACCCGAAGTGCTCCCCTACAAACGAAGGGAAGAGACCCCAAAAAAACCCCCCCCCCCTGGCGGACTCCTCGGAACCTGGTGGGCTCTTGGGCATGTGAAAATCTGCGGGGAGCCAAACGCGGAAAGCGAACCACTTTTTTCGTGGGCTCAATACGGCAAACCCCAAATTCGTTGGCAACAAGTCAAAGTCCGAACATCCCGTCCAAGGAAAATGCGACAAAGGGAACTTTTACTCAGTTGCCCAGTTGGACCCAGAAACCCAAGGCGATCACCTTACGGGGCCAAGAATGATCGGTTTGGGGCAAGTGCGGCAGCTCAAAGTTGGAAGGAAATCCAACAGGAGCCAACGGTAATTCATCAACCATCAAAATTCAGCCACTTAACGGGCCCACTTGCTTGGGCGCGAAACTAGGGGTGGCAAATACAACATACATCACCCACTCCTCCGGACATTTTGCAGACACATTCCCTCAACATGTGTGGTTTGAATTGGCTTGGATCGCAGCTTGGCAACTCAAAAACCCCTCCGGTCCGTTTTGGGGTCTTTGGGGATTAGGGAAGCAGCCCAAAGGGGCTGTAGATGTGCCAGAAGAAAGGCAGCCCTCTTTTGGCCCCTAAACATGTCTTCTTCTAGCGTCCTGAGTGGATTGACAAGTCCAGTTTGTTTGGTTCCCACTAACATGGTCTTGCCAAAAAATAAAGTCCAGGAACTCAGGGAGTGAGTCTTTGTGATGTCGTTCTAAATGTCAACAGGCGGTACACCATATTGAGACACCTGCATGTTTCATTGGCTCTCGCCTTTCAGGAATGGCTGTTGAAATCTAAAAAATGGTCAACACAAGGGTTCCCTGTGTGCGTGAAACTCTCTTTCAAAGTTGGCCGTTTTAGAACAGGGTTCCGCTAGAAGGATACATCCAACAAGCCTGCAAAATTCAATCCTCTAACCCAGCCGGTTGCGTGATTGGTGCCGAGCCAGGGTCAAACACAACGACTTCTCCTTTGACACATTGCTTCCGGATGCTTCCGGAACATCTTGGGGCACCCGCGAGTAGAACATGTCCCTAGTGCACACGAGGACATGTACGGGGAACGGTTCTTGTTGAGAGGGCGCGGCCTCCGCCTCCTGGTGGCTTTGCCTGGAAGGAGGCCTCCAAAAAGTGAAAAGTGATGGGTGTACTTCTTGGTTCGCATCTAAATCAATCTAAAGTCTTCGAAGCGCCATATCTTACAAGCCCTGGCTCAGCGCCCGGTTGCCCGCTTGCCCGGTCCGAGGATCATGCAGCAGATGGGACAGTACAGGTCCTCGCCCAAGCTCGGCGAGGATCGTCTTCCTTACGACGAATGGAAGCGGCGTGTGTGTGCTGTTTGACGAGACGCATTTGAGGGGTGGCCGCAAAAGTTTAAAGGGACACCTAAAGCAAAAGCACAGTTTGCGTTTTTTGTTTGTTGTTGTTTGTTTGTTTGTTTTTGGGGGGAGGGGGCCAAATCAGCAGCGCAAACCCATGGACTTTTGGTTTCATTTTAGGTCTTTTGGAGGCTTCAGAGCCCCAATGAAGCCGGCTAACGCCAAGAGGCAAGAAGTGAGCTCATCAGCTGGATGCAAACAACATCGAGGAAAACAAAAGGCGACAAATCCAAAAAAAAGAAGCCTGGCAACGCCTAGAACGGGAAACCGACGACAAACGGGACACCATCGTGCACCGGGATTCTGTACGCGAGCTTCGGGCGCATCCGTTCACGCACGCCATCTGAGCAGCAGCGTGCGCAGCGAGACTGGCGGCCTCTCCTCATAGGGATCCCCCAAAAGAAATCGCAAAACGATTCTTGCTGTCCCATTTTAGACATCACCCCAAAAGAAATAGAATGAAACAAATGACTGGAAACCAGGTGATGCCTGCCAGGTGGTTTGGTGACAGTTGTGGGGGTGTATGGCCATGTCTTTTGGAAGGGCTCCTTCCGAACAACTGCGCCCCTTGTGGGAAATGGGGTGCATACCCCTTGGCCCACATATGGTGTACTCAAAAATAGTACGTCAACAATCTGTGTCATAGTTGGCTTACCCTTTTGTATTAAACTAGTTTTGCAGGAGACCCCAGCCTAGGGCTAATAAGAAAGAAACAGAGACAGAAACAAAGACATAAACAAAGAAAGAAAGAAAGAAAGAAAGAAAGAAAGAACGAAAGAAAGAAAGAAAGAAAGGAAAGAAAAAAAGAAAGGCTCTTGCTGCATCTACCCTCCACCCCCTCAGTCCCAGCTGTCCCCCCTTTGGCTCCTCCACAGCAGCAGCACAGCGCCAAGGCCAACATTGAGCCCATAGCCTTCCCCCGCAACGCGCGATCCGCTCGATCCGGGGGCGCTTCGCGGACTGCGGAGCCGCGGCCCATCGATCGGCGCGCTCAAAATTGGCCGCGGAAAACTGCCAGGAGCCCACAGCGACATGGCGCGCGCTTGCGCGCGCTTGGCGCGCGCTTGACGCGCTTGCCGCGTACGCCTGGGATTTGTGGGCTTGAGGCTAGCGGCAAAGCACGTCAAGTTTTGGGAATGAGGCTTGGTGCAACTCCGGAAACCCCAGTTCAGAGACAGCCCTTTTGCGAGACTGGTACGACCGGCAGGCTTCCGGTGCATTGCGCGCCTTCGGTTTGCTTTTTTTTTTTTCCGCGGCATGAAGCGAGGGCCACGTGGCGAGCGCCATCGATCTGCGCGAGCGGCTCTTTGAGTGGCCTAGAGACACTGGAGTGATGGGCACTTTCCCAGTTGCTTTCAAGAGGGCTTGGACTCTCACAGTTCGTTAGGGGTGGCCTGGTGGATGATTACTTTTGATCTCAGAGAACGGACCTAGCAGATTGTGTCTCGCGAGCGAAACTCGCCCCGCATGTGCTTCCGAGGTCACCAAGGGAAAGAGGGAACACCGAAGAATGTGGACCGAACTTACTTCTGGTTGATCGTGCCTCACACCCTCGCACCGATTGCCTGCAATTTCTACAATTCCAAAGTCCAAAAGTAAGAATTGGAGCGCAAGTAAAGAACCTTCATGGATTTCGCTCGGTTTATTCCCGAATTGGTGGAATCACTCGAAATCCACCCAGTTTGACCCGCGACAAGGCAGCCTGAAACAAGGCTCCCTACCCTCCCTCCCGCTAACATAGCACTTGGCAAGGGCTCGCTTCAATAGGCAACTGGTCTTTCAGGTAATTAACCTCCCACAGCTGCCACGTTGGTTGGAAGGAGTGTATCTTTTCAGAGATGAAGCATGTTTAACTTCAATCGTTTTGCCTAATAATTCCAACCTACAAGCATCACCGAAGCCCAAAATCCAACTCAATTGGTCTTTGAAGGCTCTTTAGACACTCGAATCCTGGTGAAATGCGTGGATTTTCCAAGCGGACGCAACTTTGGGCGTATGGCGGCAGAGCCATGTCACATGTCCCAAATCCTCTCCTGCGTCAATCAACCGCCTTGATGCGGATTCGAGATGACCACCTGAAGCCGCAGCATGTTTTTTGTTGGCTCTCCAGCCCTCATCTCTTCATTCCTTTCTTGCTGTCTACCCAGGGATCCTTACATTATACACCTGAACATTGCCTTGTAAATGGTGGCTTCCCTTTATTCCGGTGTTGAAAAAGCAACATGTAACTCAAATGGGTGGGCAACATGGCTCGATCTTTTGAGGAGCCCTGCCCCATGAAGCTCACGAACACCAGCGCTGGCGTTTTGAGGGAGCCCAAAAGGCGTGAGAGACCCTCTGCCGTGGCGCCAAACCAACTGTGTACCTTCAACTTGTTGGTGTCTTCTCGGTGGCTGTGGCGAATTCAAAAAACCGGAATGCCAAAATGGGTTGCCCTGTAAGTGGAATGGACCAAAACCTGCGGTTTGCCCCTCCTGCTTAATGTTGAGCCACACCCAAATCACCCTACACTTGGGGCCATTTAGCAGAAACAAAGCCACGCCCCAAACTATTGATCCAATAGCCACGCAACACGGCACACAACCACCCACAACGCAACAGGGCAAAAATCGAGGGCGGTCCGCATCAGGCAATTGCCTTCACCACATCAAGAGTAGCCCCATCCCTAGCAACAGCATTTCATCTATGCAGCATTGGAGTCAGGGTCTTCCGGGATTCATGTCACGGAAGAAACATAAAACAAAAAACATACACACTCAACAACGAGGATTGGCAGCATCAGATTCTTCTTCCATTTGCTTAAGCCCACAGGAAGCAAACATATTTCCAGTAGTAATAGATTCCCTTGAAAACCAACAGAAGGAACATAGAACATATTCCTAAGCAAATGGAAGTCTGTTGGAAATTTGGGAGTTTCAGGCAGTTTTCAGGTGGGTGAGCCGTGCATCCGTGCCCTCCCACTTCTTCCCGACTCCTTCCCGACTGAAAGCGGGGAGGAAGTGATCAACATCTCTCAAGCTGATCCCAGGTGAACCAAATTGGATATGCGCAGGCGAAACGTAGCACCCATTTCTCCGCAGGTCTTTGTCCTTGGTTCCATTTACAAGGGCTCGTTCCATGTTGGGGACCTATTTTTGTGTCACAGCCAAATCCTGAGAGACATCAGGAAGGCAACAAGCGCAGCTGCATCGAAATATGTGCTTGAAACAGGTCTTTGAAACACAGGTGGCCGACATATTTCGACGTCTCCGACACAGGTTTCTCCTCCGAACGCGTGCTTCCCTTTGTTCTGAGGTGACCACTCATTTCAGGACCCACCTCTGAGCTGTGGCTTGGCTCTCGGATCGGTGCAGCCCTGAACCAAGAGGTTTATCCTGGGCCATTCCAAACGAGCTGCCAATCCCAATCCATCGCGGAACATGGCTGGAAAGGGCGCAGGATTGCCGACGACTCGGCCAAGTGTAATAATTCTTCAAGCTCCCTTCCGGGAACCAAGCTGGATATATATATATATTATATTATATATATACATAATGTGCATATGTCAAACCACTTTCTATCCACCCACCCACCCATCCAGCCATCCATCCATCCATCCATCCATCCAGCTAACCAGCTATTTCAGGAAGGGCGACCACTTCTGCGTTATTCACCCCGACTTCGCCTAGCTCCCCCGCCTCTCGGCGCCGGACCCACCACGCTTCGCGCATGACGCGGCGCACTGGAAGCCTCGGGTTCCGGATTCGGCCGTGAGTTGGGTTCGCCTTTCGCATTTTCGGCTGGAGAAAAGTGATAAGTTCAATCCATTTGCTGAAGACCCCAGGAAAACCACTGGAAAGAAAAAAAGAGATGTTCAGTCCATTTGCGGGGGGGGGGGGGGGGGTCCCAAAAAACACATATTTCCAGTAGTGATAGATTGGACTTTAACACCAGGGGAGAATATATGCTCAAGCAAGTGTGATTGGAAGTTCAGGGCTTCGTTTTGGGCATCGAAATGAGGGTCTGAAGTCTGGACTTCAGTACACGCTTGGCAACAACCGGGGACCTATTTATGATGCTCAATTTCCCCAATGGCTGAAGTCAACTGATTGATTGAGTCAACGTCCACAAAACAAATCCAAAGTTGGTGGCGAGGTTTCTCTTGCGGGCTTGGTGTTCCAGGTGATCAAGAAGCACACCGAGGGAAAAAACAAGGAGAAAGCAGATTGCCATCCAAGGAGGACATTGGATCGCCAACCACAAAGTGGCAAGGAAGCAACTGGTTTCCTCTTCCCTGAGCCGCAGGTCTAACCGTAGGTTTGATGGAAGGTCCAAGGGCGAAGGTCACACCAAAGGCCAGCCATGAAAAGGGCTAAGGAACAGAGGGAAGACATGAAATCCCGAGCTGAAGAACACCCGATCTGCTGGAACCCCGCTGGCCACCGCCCTGTGATTCGCATGCTGTGTTTGTTTTTGAAGGTGCACCCTTTGTGAGCTTGTTGCAAAGAGAAAATCAAGTGGAATCCCTGAAAGGCACCCAACTTTTGAGAACCCATTTCACAGCCCACAGTGCGGTCCCCCCAAAATTTCAAAACAGGAGCCGAAGATTCTTCGAAGCTGGTTGAAATCTCGGCTCGAGCTTTGCTTTGACCGCTGTGAAGTCGTCTTCCAGTCTTCCCATGGAACACTAGGCGTCTACACCTGGACCATGGAAGATCAAAACTGCCCGGCAACGACCCCCCCCCCACTCCCCAACCTCTGCAACCCCGTCCCACAACCCCACCCGCCTGAGCGGGCGCAGCCCTGGATACATGGGCAACTTTGCCCAAAGCGAACCGACCTGAAATTTCGAGCTCTACCCTCCCCATAAACCGGACTGACCCACTGTGGTTGCAGGGGACAATTCTAGCTCTACTCTCCCCAGTCTCTTCAGGGATCCTTCTCCAAAAACGGGCCAAACCCTGGACAATAGGCAGTGTCTAAAGAGAACGATGGGTGAAGATAATGGGGAATCAAACATAGAAAATAACCATTTGGTCTTCCAATTTGTCTGCTCCCAGTTCTTGTCAAGGTCCCAGCTGATCACCTCTTATTCCAGGTCCAAACTGGGCAAGTAAGAAAACACACATGCGCCAAACCAGGGGAAATACCAGTACATTGACAAATAAGAACGAGGAAAGGCAACGTATATGTGACAAGTCAAAGCCAAAGAACCAACCAATGCGTAATATCTAGCTTTGCAGGGATACACATGAGACAAAACTCATGTTCCGGAATCGCTGAATTGAACACAAAGAATCCTTGAACCATCTGGTGCGGTAGCAGGCACAATGGAAACGGGATGCAGATTCTGTGCCCCAAAACCGAGTCCCCATATGAATAAACCTTAATATATTCAAAGGGGGGTGTCTCTGAATTTAGTGGCGAAGCATTGAGGGGAACGCCCCGCCTCATAGGATGGGTTCTACATGTTTCTACTAAGATCCGGCCTGCCATGTCCCTTTCGGGACACCAACCACCATAAAACCAAATTCATCAAATCACCTCAGTCTTGCCAATCAGCCTTGAGAGAAGCACGCATGCTCTAGGCGAAAGTTCTTTATCAACCAGTTCCATAGGGACTCAAATGGACGATGGGCATCCTTTTTAGGACCCAGTTGCCCAGTTTGGACCGAAAAAGGTCAACCTTTTTAAAAATGGAACAAATCAGGGAAACCCAAAGGTCGTTTCAGGTCGATTCGCAGGTGACTTTTAGGATGGTTCAAGCGCACCATGGCCCGTAACAGCACAGGTTTTCACACACATTTTTGGAGCCACTGGAGAGCGGCCGCTTACCATGTGCTCAGTGCAACCGTTTCATACACCTCGGCTCCCTCCATTGGAATGAGGCCCAGAAGCTTCAGGGCTGCCTTTTGATATACTTTGAACCAGTTTGGCCAAGGGCCAATTCCAAGAGCGAGAAAAAAAACGGAAAAGAAAAGAAAAGAAAAAACAACCAAAAAAAAAACGAAAAAAAAAAGAAAAAAAAGAGAAAAACAAAAACACACGCCAGAAGTTGCCGGGGTTCCAATCCCCAAGCCCCGAATCACCCGAATCCGGGGCGATCTCTGATCTTTGGCGAGAGGGACCCCGGACCCATCGGTACAACCCATCTGCTCACTTGACCGGACTGGTCAAAACAAAATCCTCGGTCAAAGCCGACAGATCCAAGCCCAAAAAATGACTCACGCCCAAAAACTCAGGGAGTGAGTATCCTCCATTTGCCTAAGCCCCCTGAACAAGAAACAGTAGTGATAGATTCCCTTTAAAACCAACAGGGGAAATAAACACGTATTCTTCACCAAACGGAAGGTATGCCAAAAGCGGGGCATGGATTTCCTGCTATGTTGCAGCCCCAAAAGCACACTTAGCCCCCCGACAAAAAGCGCAAGCGCTTTACGCTTTACGCAGAGGCGGAATCCAACGAGTAGAGGGCAAGCCAGCCTTCCCGCGGGAGTTTCGCAACATTCCGGGAATGGATTGCGCATCAGGACCTGGAAGCCTTGTCTTGGTGCGAACGTTCCCGAGTGAAACCTGATGAATATGATGCGTAAATAAACACTCTCTCACGCACAATCTCCAAGGGATATTTTGTTGGATTGCGTTCGGCTCATATACTCAAACCACATATTTTTTAAACAATGGACACTGGGCAAATAACATGTCACCCGGAGGGACCCCTAAGGAGCTTGCGCGACATCGTTGACGTCGCAAACCCCACAACAACAACATCAAACAAAAACGCGACGTCACTATCAGATGGAATGGCAAGGTCTGGTGGCATATGGGCATGTCGTAAAATAGGGGACCCCCCGATTCAAAACCAGAAGATGGGTTTCCTTTCGGTTTTCCCTTTCAACACGCCCGACAAAGGCTACCGACGCGCCGCCCGTACTGCGGATGGCTGCGAAATCCATTTCGCATCACCTTTTGGAATCACTGGAATGATTGGATTCCCCTGTAAATGCCAACGAACGCTATGGTTTCAACCATGGTTTCACTGCGTGGGTGCGACATGGATTTCGCAACCATCAGTAACCACATGGCACGTGCAGTCCGGCCTTTGAGGCTGAGCCTGGGCAAAGGCCGACTCGAAGAAAGTCTGCTCAACTCACAGCCTTTGTTCTGGTAAACCCTGCTTTGGTTTCCCTGATGCTTCAAAAAGATGCCCCCCCCCCCAGACTAACATGGAAGCTCCCAGGACCCTTTTGGAAGACTTGGTTCCATTTACAGACGCCCTCTGGGAGCTTCCATGTTAGTCTGAGGGAGTGTATGGCTGCTGTTTCGCACGTTGAGGCAATTTGGCCGCAAACACGTCCAACTCGCAGGCCCTGAAAAGCGACTAAAAGGGGGGCCAGAAGGAAACAGTCGAACCATTCTGGGGACCCCCCCATTTAAGACAGGCAACTCGACGATTTCGGCCTCGTCAAAATCGCGTGCTTTGTTTGGTTCAGCGTTCCAGAGTGCTTGCAGACCCGACTGTAAGAGGCTTCCCACTCGCAGCCCCGTCGCCCGTGTCGCTAGTATCACCAGCAAATGCCAGCAGACCAACACACCAAAGCAGGCCCAAGACCCACTCCGAAACGCCTAATTAACTGCTGGCCCCGGCGCTATGTTGCCCAGCCGCATACCCAAAGCTTCAAGGCGGAGGCAAGTTGCAGATCGCACCCAGGGTCTGTCTCGAAAGGGATGACCCAAATGTGGTTTGCTTTTGGTTCTCTGCTAAGACAAGCGCAACACGGGTAACCCAAAAGAGGGACAGAGCCAGATTGAAATAAGGATTTCTGCCCGCCCAAATTGACACCTGAACTCCTGCAACTTTTGCTTGGAAGGCAAATTTGCTTTCGTGAGGCAGTTTGTCGGGCATGTCAGAGCCGCGGTCACAATGTGCGTTGGCCAAGGACATGGGAAAACTGATTCAAGCCCAAAGCCAGCTTCGCGGACAGATTCTTACAGAGCCCCCGTTGCGCTTGAAGGTGTTGTTGCTTTCAAGTCGCCATATGCAAAACGGTTCTGGATATGGGCAAAGTATCGCAAGTCCCCTGGTGGCTGAAACGTAGTGACTCGACCGAAATCCTGATCAAATAGACTCAAGCCGTGACATTGAAGCTCCTTCTGGTGCATTTCATAGGCGCGAAAGGTGGTGCCACCCTGTACTCCGAAGCAAATGGAGGTTTTGACCACATGGAATCTGCAGCAAAGCAACATAAATGCCTCGGGCCTTCGTACACGTGCCCGTGCTCAGACCGGGTTCACCCGGGAATTGCTTTTCATTTGTCTGTAACACAGCTTACTCTTCGACCGTTTTGTTGTTTCTTCGTTGACATGAAGGACCCCCTGCAACTGCAATTTCCCTCGAGGGAGAGCCAGGCTCTGCCACAGGTTGTTGGTGAGGCTTAAAACCCGAATTCTTGGGGTCCTCAAGATGCCTTGCAAAAAAGAAAAGGGCTTCTGGGTCCACCGGTGCTCTGATGTTCAGAAGGCTTTGTTTGTTCGCAGGAAAGGGTTCTGAGTCTACCGGTTTGTGATGTCCAGAAATTCCCTTAAAGGAAACTACCAGTTGGATGACTTTTTTCGGTGAAATTCCATTTCTCATTCCCTTCACCTCTCGCACCAGCCAGCATCATCAGAATTACCCCCAAAAAAAGCCCCCCAAAAGAGATTCCTCTGGGCTTTGGGTCCCATGCTCCCTTCCATGTCCTTAACCTCCCAGAATTACCCCAAAAAGGCCCCCTCCCCCCCTTCAGGGTTCCCCATAAATGTCCCTAACCTCCCACGCAACGGAACCGACTGGGTGCCCTGGGTGCCAGGGCAGGAGCTGCCAAAGGGGCTGCGCCTTTGGCACCGCACCAAGTGAGACGCTTTAGGGGTGGTTCTGGGTGGACCTATGCGAAAACCGCCGGCCGGTTCCAAAGGGTGCGCCATTTGTGGTCGTATATCTTCCATGTTCAATGTTCACAGATCTTGGGTGGTGGAAGTTGTGCATCTCTTGATACTTCACTGGCCCACAAGATCCCGAAATCAAAGAGGTTAACCACCTGAAGACATGGATTCAGCCCCTCACCTGCAACACACGAGGAACGCAGCCTTTAGGTGGAGGGGGGTGTCCAGATTCAGAATGGGTTACTATATATCTACCCCAAAACTTGCACCAGCTGGATTCGACATTTCCCTCCAAAAGTGAAGGACTCCCTCCAAAATGGAAGGCCCCCTAGCAATCAACCTGAGGTTCATTCATCCGGGGTCGCAATCCTCGCCTGCTAGCCAACCTACTTGGCGACAAAGAAAGTCGTAGGGGATCTTGAAATATCTTTAGTGCAGGTAACTGCAGCGGGGAAAGTGGGCCGTAAAATGTGATCTGGAAGTGCATATAGCTAGAAGCCAAACCAAGCCACTCGTACATGTACAAATGCACGTATTTCACATTCGGACTATGTACATTGAGCCATGTGCATGTTGCAATTCAATTTTTCATTCTGCACTTGAGCTGACTACTGCCAAGAACGGCAAATCAGCATCCCTCTAATTGGTGGTTTGTATTGGTGGTAGTTAAGGGACGTTTCCCATTCACCCTCCACAACATCCGGGGGTTCAAATCCAGATCCAGACCACCAATCAGGGGAAGCTGCGGCGGGGTTGTCGCTTAAAAGAAAAACTGTTTAGAAGACCCGGCTTCAAGGTCACCAAGTAAGCCGTGAACCTTACTATGTGTTGCCCAAAAAGCACCCCGAACGAGCAAAAGGCAGACTAGACCTTTTGTAGGTACGTGTTTTCAGGTCCTTTGTTGCGAAATGACTTTCTCCGCTGATCCCACTGGAAAAGCGAGTTTTTGGGTTGGTCGAAACGGAAGGTTGAGTATTGATTCTCTCGTTTTTTTTGATTCCTTCCAGGATTTTGATTTCTTTGGGTGGTCAACTAGGTCCTCCAGTAGAGAGGTTAGAATAAGGTCACCAACTTTTTTCTTTTGTCTATTTTAGTAGGGGAACCCTCCCCCAAAAAAGTTGGGTGAGAAAGGGCACCTAGCTGGGGGACCTAGTCATCCAAAAGCCACACATACCCCATAAACAAAAGCCAAAAGTACACCTTGGGTGGTCTCAACAAAAGCCAAAAGTTGCAAAGTTTTGATATCCTAGGAGTGGCTCCACAGATTCGCCACATCCAACCCGTTTTCTAGATGAACGGACGCCAAAAGCTGCAAAGCCCGCCGCGCCCCGCGGCCGCTTTTTCGCAAAGCGGTCGCTTCGGCGCCTCAACGTCGCCGCCCCGGAGATGCACCGCGAGGTGATCCACCAGCCGCGGGGCACGTGCAGAGCGTGGCCTGCGGATCTCCGAGATCCGCAGCCGGGTGGGTTGGGTTTTGGGGGGGAGGGGGGTGGTTTCCAAGGGAATGGGATGCCATGTCCCAAATTCACCCCCCAATATTTTTCCAAGGAAATGGGATACCACAAACGGAAAATTTCTCCAAAATTCACCCCCAATATTTGAGGCACTAATATTGGAGGCCCAAATATTTGAGGCACTAATATTTGGGGGCAATTCCATGTATCTAGTCTTGCCCATAGGAGTTGGAACAATCAATGGAGATCTCCAGGGGTCCTAATCCCCCCTCCCCCAGTGTTTAAGGGGGGACCCAGCTATTTAACAGGTGGCCGGAGGTACTTGTGGTGGATTTGTGCTGAGGTTAAGCGTGGTTGAACCCCATTCACCCACAAGAACCAGGGATTCGTTCAATTCCAAATCCAAACCATCCCGACCAATTAGGGGGAAACTGCAAAATGACCTTCCCATCAAATAAGTCCAGAAACCCAAACAGAGAGCCCCACTTTGAGGCACCGGGTTTCGACTCGGGGAAAAAGTAATATGGCCGACCATGTTCAACAGTTGAACCGTCAGCTTAGCATCCGAAGGGGAAAATGGAAGAACCCCAAGCGTAGAAACCCTTGTGAAGGGCTTCTCCCTCTGTTTCTCTCTTGGGAAAAAAGGGAGAGACCTCGACGCACATTTATCCGAGTGTTCCCGTCAAAAGTTGCCCAACCCCCCGCCGCTTGCCCGCCCGCCCCCACTCGACCGCCAAGCGCCTTGGCGGAGCACTCGCCTTCGCACTGTCAGCCCATGGCGCGCCACCTGCGGGCAGGGGGCCGAGCCTAAGCTCGGCCCGGACACTTTTTTCTATGTGGTGATCTTGGTTGACCTTGGAAGGGGAGCCAAACATTTTTTGAATTTTAGCAGTTAAGTTGTTGGATTCCAACCACTCAACCACAAGCAACAATGACAAATGATTCCCAACAACAACCATGTGATTGACTGGACAGTTCAACTTCTTCTGCCTGCTGGAACAAGGTAAAGACTACAGCCTGATCCGACCAACTAGTAGGAGCCAGCAGCCCCATAGCCAGAAGAAAGGTTGCACACCTCCCACCGTTTCCATGTGCAATCTTCATGGGCGAGGGATTGTCATCACCATGAATGGCAGTCTACGGATGTCTGGTTGCATGTGCTGACTCTCCCGCCCTAAATCCTCCAGCACACTTGCTCTTAGGTTCGATGCCTAGAGACCCTGCTTCCTCTTCTTTCTTTTTTTGACGAATCTGAATACAACCAGCATCAAAACCACCGGGCGGCTCGGGGGGCCCTTCCATCTGCAAAGGCCATGTAGGGTTCGAATTTCATCTAATTTCTGGACGGCGCAGGAGAAGACCTCCGGTTTTCGGGGCCCGAGGCTTGATCCTGTTTGAAGGGCTCGAACCTCCCCCTTCAAACCTTGTCGAGCTGCCAGGGCTCCTGACATGAGGGTGGTTTCACTCGGGACACCCGGAAATTTCACTTTTCGGAACACCAGGAAAGTCCCCAAAGATAGATCCAAATCTGTCCGGCTATCCACTGTCAGCTTCGGATTGAATCCGGGTGGGCTGAGAATCCTGGCTTCTCACTGCGAAATATGGCTGTCACGTTATGTACTAACTTGGCTTAGTACCGCACGCCCCCGTCCTATGAGATTGTAGCATTTGCAACCCTTTACACTGCGTGGCATGGGTGCAAACAACTTTCTTGTTTTGCAGCCCCACTAAACATGAACAGAACCAGAACACCGAAAAACCCACAAACTTGCCAACAACAGTGAAGACTCAGACTGACCACAGGACACCAAGAAAGACAGGTAACCTACGGCCAACGCAATGCGCGCGGGAACCCCTGACAAACTTGCTCATGGCACGAGGTGCTTAAATCATCAAACCGAACAGAACGCCCTTTTAAATAGGCAAGCAACAGGTGATGTTTATATATTTGTATTGGTATAGATGTAGATCCACATAAATATATATATATATATATATACATATATATATATATGCTTGTGTTTATCTTGTTTATATATAAATGCAAACATATCTCTATAGACACATATATACATGTATGTATATATCCATGTGCATCTATATCTATGTATCTAGGATCTTCCCTGCGCCGGGCTTCCCGATCCGCGAACCTCGCTGGGATCATCCCAGACGCTTTGCGTGAGGTCCTTGAGGCGCTCGGAGGGCGCGAAGAGGAGGAACTCCTTCGCCCGCAAGCCGCGTGCAGAGCTGAGCTGTGTGTTTTGTGACTGGGTCCTCCAGTAGAGAGGTTAGAATAAGGGTACCCGACTTTTTTCCGTAGTCTATTTTAGTAGGGGAACCCTCCCAACCAAAAAAGAGGGTGAGAAAGGGCACTGGGGGACCTAGGTGAGGTTCCGGGCTTATGCACTTTTCTGTCTTTCCTTCCCTGAATTTCACCTCTCCTTGACTTGATTTCTGGGCTAGTAGAGACAGGACCTAGGTGAGGTTCGGGGCTTATGCACTCTTCTGTTTTTCCTTCCCTGAATTTCACCTCCTTGACTTGATTTCTGGGCCAGTAGAGACATCCTGAATCTTGGTGCTCAAGGAAATCACCTTCAAGCGTAGTTTTGAGAACGCCTCAAAACGTCCCCCTGACCATGTTTCTTACAGTACACATCGACCAAACCACCTGCTCAAAGCAAGGGATCCTCTGCTGGTAGAGCTGGGTCTGTACTTCGGTTCCCTCAGGAGGAAACCCTTCATGCCGATGCGAGATCGAAGGCGCACCATCCAGGTAGATCGGGGATACACCGCTGGTGGTTTCCAAAGTCCTTTCCATTCGCGTTGTCCCCGGGAGAAAAAAAGGAAATATGTCCAGTAGTGAAAGATTCCTTTTAAAACCGACAGGCGAACACAACACATTATCCTAAGCGAATGGAAGTCCTGGATTCATTCCCAACACCCTTCTTGATTCCCGATCTTGAGAACAAAGTGGAGGCATTCCAAAACAAAAATAAAGCGGCCATTTTGTATTTGTTTAATCTGGAGATTTGCCGGGGCCATCGCCAGGTATCAATGGTTTGTCCTTCCACAAGTAGGCCGCCCTCCCGCCAAGGAAACCTTTGGCCAGGGTGCCATCCGGGGCATGGCAGGAACGATGAATCAAAGGCTCCGGCGCTCCAGCGAGGCGGGCACAGGGCACTGGGGATGCCGGGAATGGCTTGGGGATAGGTTCCCTTAAAAAAGAACACAGATGGAAGGGTTCTATTTGAGTCTCCTTTTCGTCTCGCTCTACAAAGGTGGAACGGGGAAATAAGGGGAACATAAGACGTGGGGGAAATAAGGCAAACTCATTGAAACACAGATGGAAGGGATGGTCCAGCTTGCGGAGGGAATGACCTTTGAGCACCAGCGAGGGTCTCGACTCCCCGTCCTTTGCGCCCCATAGCACAGCCACGTGGCCTCGGTCCCGAAAAGTTGAAACTTCGAGGCGCAAAGTTCCATGGGCTGCGAGTCACTGTGGTGAAAGGCCGGTGAACGCCATGCCAGCTGGCTTCACACCTCAACTCTATCTGTGTTCAAAATTGAGGGTTGGCCACTCCGATTTTCCACAATCCCAATCCGTCCCCAAAAGGGGAAGCCGCTACAAAGGGGACTGGTTCCTGGCGTAGAAGGCCTCCAAATCAAGCATCCGTGGCATAGGTCCAGAGGCTTTGTTTGCATTGTCGTCAAGGTGCGGGTGCCCAGCTATCACTCGGGGGGCAATGCATGTAAAGGTTCCCTTTTTTGGGGTTGGTGCCTGCTTTAATGGGTGGTTTTCAAGGAAACTGAAAGGTAAACCTTCATTTTTGATCATTTTTGGGGATACCCTGAAAAAAGACACCCATGTAGCTCCTCCCTGCCCTTGACAAAGTAGGCAAAGGTTTGAGGCTGTAACACTGCAACCTTCTAGCTGTCTCCTTTGGGGGAGACAAGGCATGGCCCTGATGATCCCTCCAAACGACGAGCTTCCTGTTGGCCTCCTTGGAAAGCGCGCAGACCTCTAAACGCGCGACCACATGCCCCTGGCAAAGGAACACTCTGACTCTGACCGAAGCGGTACATGTGGGTGGGGCTCCTTGGGATTTCCCTTTGAACCACCCCAAGCACGGTGCCAATTAGCCTTTAGAGAACGATGTGTGTTGCGCATCCGCCCTGACAACACGCCTTGTGTGGGGGTGGTCCTTGCTCTGCCTTGGTATACGTGCAAGAAAATACCTCTTGCGCCTGTCGAGGGCCACATTGTCTCACCTTCCCAAATCGCCTGCAAACTGTATTCACCCTTCTTGAGACCTTGACTGAACATTGTTCAAAACGGGAATCGGCATTCCTTTCAAATCCAAACTTCAACTGGTGCCAACTCAAAAAGAGCAAAGCCTCTAAAGTCGTCGATTCCACTCTCCATGACTTTCTCCTTTGGAGGCTCATCCTAAAAGACCCAGCGGCCGCGATTGAATCGTTCGGGGAGTGGCTAAAATGAAGAACACATCAAGCACCCAACAACAACTGGAAACAAGTTTGACAACCGAAACCCGTCAAAAATGAGAAAAGCCCACCTTTTGAGGCCAATCAAGTCTGACTAACAGGAAGCTAGGTCATAAGGTCGGTGGATTCGCTTTCAACTCCACCCAACCACTTTGGGCACCGGGCACTGCGCCTTGGCCTCCTGCAAAGGTGTCTGGCAGTTCGGAGGCTCCACGTCCAATACCTCGACTGAACTTGTAGGGAACGAGGCAAACCTGGGGTCCTGTAAGGGAAACCACAAGGGAAACCACCAGTTGGATGGTTTCTCTCGGGGTCATTCTATTTGTCATTCCCTGCTTATCGCGCACCAGCAAGTGACACCTGGGCAGGAAAAGCCGGTGGCTTGCAACCAGTTCGGGCCCAAAGGTACAAGGTGTTTGCTTCCAGGATTGTTGGATAGCGGTACCCGTTTTGAAGTTCCCGGAACGAATCGCCTGTGGCGGACCCCACTTAGTCAAACAATCAGGCTCCAAAAAGTCCACCATTCTCGACATCATATCGGCCGTATCAAGGTGTTATTGGGAGGAGAGCAGGGGTGAGGGAGGGGCTGCTTTTGGTTCCTTGAATTCCGTGGGCAAAATGACCAAGATTCGGAGGGAGTTCCAGCTTGATAGTATTGGACCTCCCCGAATGTTGTGCCTCGCTGTTCCCAGCAACCAAGCCCAGAAATGCGAAGAAAACAGATGAACACAGACACTCCCATTTTTGAATGCGAGCCTCAACCACGAATTTGGAAGGCAAACAAACGCAGCGGTTTGCAGCCAGGGTTTCTCACTTGTTCCTTGCTTCATCTTTAGGGCCACCGTACCACGAAAACACGGGATAAATCTGACTGGCGACTGTGGACTGTTGGTCTGAACGCGGCAGCAGATTCCTTCTGCACTATCTGTTTTGAGCCCGGCGGATGTTCAATGCTGTGTTCTTCGTATGCCAGCTTGTCAAGTTTTCACGACCCCAAAAGCGGTTGAACCTCTGAGACGGGAAGGCCTCGCTACGTTCAGCAGCGTCTTCACACTCATGTTTCCTATCCTATTGCCAGAAGGGCCTTGCCATTTTTGTCAAGCCTTCCAAGGCGAAGGTTTGCCGCGGCGGATTCAGGCAAACGGGGGTGGTTCTTCCCAAAAGTGCCCTCCAAAAAAAGAAAATAAGCAGCAGCAAGCCAGCTGGCTTAGACTCAAAGTCACAAGTCTTGGACCATGTTCGAGGCCCACCCCAAAGCGTAAGTCTCGTGGACCTACTGTGGATGGACAAACTCCTGCACCACCTAAGAGACCCTGGCCCCTGTAAATATCAACAAACAATGGTTTCCGATAGCTTCAAAGCGGTGTAGGATTTCGTCCATCCACAGTAGGCTGTCGGTTTTCCTCTTGGCTTCCTTGCGCTCTGGGCTTTCTGGGCCCCCGGCTGGATCTCCAAAGAGCCCACCTGCCTGGCACGGGCGTTGGGGAATGTGTTTTTAGAACCTTGTAAAGCTTGCTTCTAGCCTTGGAGGTCGGTTGCTTGTTTTTTGCGCCGCTCCGTTTTTTTTTCTCGCCGTGCACGGGAAACCAACAGGTTTCTCTTGCAACGAGGGTTTTACCCGCCACAAAAAGGGGACATGTCGATCAACATCAACCAAGCCACCAGGGGTGCATTAATCCTCAGTGCCTGAAATGACAGCTACCCTTGGGCATCAACAACCTTGAGGCTTGAAGAATAAAACAAACCTGAGGCTGGAAGTGCCTGGGCCCAATCCAAACTACCTTTCTGGGTTGCCTGATGTTCAGCACCCGGGGTGGAGCTTGAAAAGCCGGCAAAAAGGGCGCGACGCACTTATGGTGAGTTTTCGTCTTTTTGAGGTACTCTTTTAGGATCCTGGGAAAACCATAGGGGGGGGGGCTTCTTTTTCTGGATTCACCTGACAAGTCTCCCCAAAACCTTGGATTGGTGGTTTCGATTTGGACTCGAACCCTTGGTTCTTGTAAGAAATGCATGGGAAGCCACCCCGAACCAAATCACCAACCACAAATTAGAGGGGATCTGAACATAGCGGTCTGGAGCAAGCACAAATAATCTGGTCGGCGTCCATCGTGTTTTTGAGGGGCGGGCAGTTTGCTGACATATACCCTCCTGTGCACTCACATGGGGATCGCTTTGACTGGAAAACCCTCTTCCGGGACCCCTCGGTCAGTGTCCATGTTTGGAGGCTGGAGAGTTCCCTTTTCAGCACCTGGGCGCTTTTTGGCACGTGAACCCCGGGACCTGCACGCAGATCTGACCGGTTTTGCCCCATCGCGCGCGGGTTGTGAAGGGCTCCCTCACTGTGACGGCAGCCCTTTGGGCGCTGCGTCGGCAGCGGTAACCAGAGCACTCCTTCGTGCTCCGTTGTGGGGCGACGAAAGCCCAACAAATTTGTTGGGGGGTCTTTGAACCCCGACACATGTTCTTTTCAAATTGGTTTCCCTCAAAACACCAAGAAGAGCAACCTCAGAAAACAGGCACCTCGTTTGCAACTTGCAGCCAAAGATGCGGCGCCAGTCCTAAATTGCAAATTGCCAACTTTGACCACGGAAGCCAAAAAAGTTCCAACCACGGATGACATGCGGCCGTATGGGAGGCCATACTTGAAACCAAACGAAGAACCCTGGATGTACCGAATGGCATCCTGGAAAATGTTCAACAAGTGCACCCCACTGAAAGAAAAAACAAACCCTGACAGGGCTCCCTAAGGTTCTTGTAGTCTTACGGTAGGCTTGCAAGAAGGGGTGCTCTGTCTGCCATTTCGGAATGTCCTCATGCCAAGTAGGCGTAGGACGTGATGCCCTCGTGCGGCAGCCGCTCAAGATACCTGGGCAGCTGTCGGAACTGGAAGTTGTCATCCTTCAAGGCCCTTTGACTAGGTCCTCCTGTAGAAAGGTTGTAATAAGGGCACCAACTGTTTTTTTTTTCTTCTGTAGTCTATTTTAGTAGGGGCAACCCGAGAAAAAAAAGGGTAGAAGGGCACTACTGGGGGACCCAATGTTGACTTCCGGAGTTCGCTCCTTCTGTGGAGTTGGATCCCTCAGACTAACAGCCGGAAGCTCCGTAAATGGACCCAAGTCTTCCAAAGGGGTCCCTTTTTGGAGCTTCCGTGGAATCGTCTGGGGGAGGGTACCGTGAAGCGATCTTCGTAAATGCGAGACACTTGGGAGTTGAGTAGCCCTGCGTCTCCCAGAAACACGAGGCTTCGCCTTTCTCTCACTGTCCGTGCCCCTGCCAACTTCCATTTGCTGCCCTGAAAGCCAAACGGCATCCAACCCCCAACGTGGAGAACGGATTCGTGGTGCTACAGCTGGATGGGCAAAAACCAGGAAAGAAAAACCCACCGACGCTCACAATTCAGCCGAACAAAGATGGGGTTCTGCTTCGTACTCCGACTGCCCAAAACAGAAACCAACTTTTGGAGCCACCAATCTGCACTGAGAGATCGCCGGAACACCCCGCAAGTTCTGTTGGTGCTGGAAGGGAACCCCATAATTGAAGACGTTTGGTGTTTGGAAGGGAAACCGGTGAAGACGTCACTCAAACTCACCGCGGTCCCAAGGATTGCTCATGTGGATAGGGAGACAGGTAGGCAGATTAAAAAAACATAGATCAGAGGATAGATGTACATATGTCTGTGAACAGGTGGATACACAGATAGATAAGCAAATGCATATGCACACAAGGCGCATGGATGAATAGGGCAGGCAAATTGATAGATATAAACAAAGCAAGAGGTCAACAGGCATGTAAATGGACAGACAGGACACACAACTGGCAGCTTTGGGCAATTCATCTGCATTCGAGTTCCTGGCTTCTATCATGTTTCTTGCAGCAAAACTTAAAACCTAAATTTCTCCGTTGTCATTCCGAAGGGGGTTCCCCTTCTTTCAGAAAATGGCAACCTGAAGCCCACTTTTCACAACCACAGCCAATTCTCCCTAAAGCCCCGGCGCGTTTTCCCAACCAACTTTCCCCAATACCAAATGTGGGTGCGTGGTTTGAGGGGTTGGACAATTTGAGTGGCAAGCATTTTTTGGCTGCTGTTGTTTGGTCAATCCAGTCTTGTTCAAATTTCCTTGCAGAAAAACCACCATCCCGGCAAAATATAACTATATGAAAGGTACAACCCGAGTTTCCTTTGTGGGTTTGGGCTAGTGGAAGAATCAGAGGCCCCATATTATGCATTTCAATATAATTATACATATATAGATATATACACGGACGCACACACACACACATAATATCTAAATCTTGTAAATATATATGTATGCCCCCCCCACAAAAAAAAGAAAAAAAAGAAGAAGAAGAAGAAGAAACAAAAGCTAAATCCGAGGCGCTCGCGCTCGATGAGGGACTCCACACGGCGTTTGATGTCTGCCGACTCCGCTGGGAAGCGGAGAGATGCGAGGACTTCCGAAAGGAGCTCCTGACGGCGAGTCCGTACCCCCAAACCCCCAAACCCCCAAATTCCCAACCACCCCCCCCCAAACATATTCTCGTGGAAAAGGCCGAAATAGACCATTTTTGCAGGTGTGTTTCGGGGGGTGGTGATTTATTGGGGGGTCCTTGGAAAAGTTGTATGAATTGGCCGGGCTTCAGGACAAACCCCAAAGAAGGCGGCTAAAATCCATTTCGCACCACTTTGAAACCATGGGAAACCATTGTGCATTAGTATTTGCAGGGGAATCATCATTGCAGGATCTCTTAGGTGGTGCAGGATTCTGTCCATCCACAGTATGACACTAAGCTAAGGGCTTCTTTACCCCTTGTCTACTCTGATTTTTGGCTTATCCTTTAGGTACCTGTATGTTCCAAGCGGGTGGTACAACCTTGAGTTATACAGTTCCTGACAGTTCCTTAGAAAACCGCCCCTCTTCGGGATTGACCAACCAACCAACCAAACAAGTACCAAATAGGATGCTAACGGCTCAGTTGCGGCACCCGGGACGGCGACGTCGCCTGCCGAGCTGGCCGGCAGACAGAAACTCTTGGGTGGCTCGTCCCTGTAATCAAACATAAAAGCGAAGGGTGCCCTTTTTGTGGCTTAAAAGGAAAAACGACAGGAACACCAACTGCCATTTTGGGGGCCCCTATTTCAAGACATGCCTAAATGAGAAGGAGAACTTCCAACAAAATGTGCACAGTTTGCCAAATCAACAGGTAAGTGCCGCATTGTCCCCAGCGAAAGTCATGCAGTCATGTAGTAAGAAAACCTTGTGAATACGCTCAAGGAAAACATGCATGCATGTAACCACAAACTAGCCACAACTTTGGTAGTTAACCTTTGTACTTGAACGTAGGTATCAAAACTCAAAGGCCAAGGATAGCGCTGGGTCGAAAAGCAGGCGCCAGTTTTTCTCAGCACATGTCTGAACTTCTGGACACCCAGAAGAAGGCAAAAGGGATCGACCATGAATGCCGTTCTAGCTTGCCGCAGGCCATCAGCATGCCAATATATATGCAGGAAAAACATGCAGGGGCACCTGGTCCAAGCCACCAACAAAATTGGCGGCTAATGGCCAGTAAGTTCAACTTTGAGCAGGGTAAACACTTAACCAAATTTCAGTGCTCAGTGACCCTGGTTCAACAAGGGAACCCTTGTCGGGCTTGACCTTTTTAGTGGGGGTGCCATCACTCAAGAACGGAAAACTCATTGGTGAACTGGGAAGTAGGGGCCCAACACAAATTTGCCCCCAGTTGAAGCTTTGAGGATCGGAAACAAATGACACATGCACCAGTTGTCCCAAAGCGTTAAACTCACTTCCTGAGTGGATTGGTCAAAAAATGTTCAAGCTTTTATTTACAACTAAAATGGTCCCAAAAAGCTTCAAGTCCATGAACTCAGGGAGTGAGTAAACGTAAAGCCTTAACCAGCTCGTAGGCAGTAGCACCCCACTCCTGGTGCTCCGACCTCTTCTTTGACTTCCTGAAGTGGATCGATTCAGGGAATGGCACAAACAAATACACAAACAAACAAACAATCAATGAATCAATGAATCAATGAACCAATGAATCAATGAATCAATGAATCAATCTGGGATTTTCCGTTCTCTGACCAACCCAGAAGCAAAAGGTGAGATCACCTGTTGGAAGTTCAAATGGGCCAAATCAGGGAAACCAACGGGTGAAAAGGTCGGCTTTGACCAAGTAGCATTCAAAACGGTTTTGTCTGTTCATTGAAATTGCCACTTGAGGTTCTACAAAAGGGACATGGAAGGAACCCGGTTTAAACCTGCTTAAGCCAAACTTCCCTGAAAGAAGAGGGACTCAACGGGCCAACTCTGACCGTTTGTTCCCACCGCGTCTAAAGGGGTCTGTCTTTGATTGAGGGTACCCTTTGGTGTGGTTTGTTAAGGGGAAACCAAAAGGAAAACCACCACTTTGGGGGGTCTAACAAAAGACACACCCAGTAGTGAAGTCCCAATG